TATCGAATCTTCATTGGAAAAACCAAATATTAAACTTTTATTCAAACACATAACTTGTAAATCCAGTAAATCTGGGAAGCTGAGAATTTTTAGTTTCTATCATATTATTTCTCCATCCATCTGTCCGTTGTTCTATTCGTTGGTCTATCTATCCATCATTCTATCTATCTGTCGTTTTATCTATCTGTCGTTCTATCTATCTTGTTCTATGTCGTTCTGTCTATCTGTCGTTCTATCTATCTTGTTATATGTGGTTCTATCTGTCATTCTATCTATCTGTCTTTGTCGATCTATCAATCTGTCGTTCGATCGTTCTACTTATCTGTCGTTCTTTTGTTCTATCTATCTTGTCATTCTATTTATCTGTCGTTTTATCTATCTCTATCTATTTCTATCTGTCATTTTATCTAGCTGTCGTTCTGTCTGTTGTTCTATCGTTCTATTTATCTTGTCGTTCTATCTTTCTGTCTGTCTGTCATTCTATCGTTCTATCTATCTTGTTGTTCTGTCTATCTGTCTTAATCTATCAGTGTATCTGTCTGTCTGTCTGTCTGTCTTTCTGTCCGTCCGTTTTATCTATCATGTCGTTCTGTTTATCTGTCATTCTTATCTATCTATCTATCTATCTATCTATCTATCTATCTATCTATCTATCTATCTATCTATCTATCTATCTATCTATCTATCTGTCTGTCTGTCTGTCTGTCTGTCTGTCTGTCTGTCTGTCTGTCTGTCTGTCTGTCTGTCTGTCTGTATATGAAAACTACAGTCTTCAGTACATTAGCGTATTTGTATTGTGTTTTATATGTAACAGTTCTAATAAATACTAAAAAGATGTTTAAAACAAAACCAATTATCAGTTTACAAGTTTTTTCAGGACTTCTGATAATCAGCACAGCAGACAAAATCCTTAAACATTATAACACACGCTCAAAATGACTAATAACTGAGCACAAAAAATGTAAAATTTGTAAAAATGAACTGCCGTACTGTACAGTGATTAATATAATATGAAGAATCCAGATGCAAAAACCTCTAAAAGAACAAGTCCTTTTCCTGGTCTTTAAAGTGAAATATCTCAACACAAACAAAGGAGGCTCAGGAAATGGTTCATTTTCAATGGAAATTTGAGAGGTTTTGCATCTGAGCTCTTCATATCTACTTCAGAAATAAACATGTATTCACAATTAAAACGAATGCAAACCAACAATAGCATCAGCTATAGACCGCAACACTGCAGCATGAGGAATATGTGCATTTATTTTTAACCGATATCAATTGACTGCCATTGTTTGCGCAATAATAGACGAGCGCTATTGATATCTATCATCTGCTATGATGTCTGCTATCGGTGTGTGTTTGCGAAAGCCTTTAACTCCACATTTGACAGAGAGATTGTTTTTGTTTTCGCAGGTGCTCGGCTGTCTGAAACCCGATCTTCAAAATAGCAAGCATGGAAGAAAGACCTTCAAACCAACCCTGTTCATTAGTTCTGTAATTGAAATCTCCCATGGTTGGATTCCTCCCTCTCGTAGCCTTCTCAGTTTAATGTAGCAGTTTTGGATGCGGGTTCGGCTTGTGCTGTTTACCAGTGCTGGAGGAAAAGGCCTAATCCCAAATCCTTCTGGAGGGCGCTAAGACACTGCCTGACTCGGATTAACTACATATTAGATTTGCCAGACAAGGGAGGAAGAACACCTGCTTGTTTTTTTTTTTTTACAGGCAAATCCAGGCCGCGTTTCTCTGGGAATTTTTGCACCAATTTTTCTATTGTCAAAATCATTGTTGGACTTTTAAATCCAAAAAAAAATAAAAAATCTAGGTCGTTGTGTTGGGATTGAAGAGTTTGGTTTGGATGTGTGATGAGGATGGTAAAGGAATAGTGAGCAGGAGGGGATCTGGATCATTCTATTAGCTGAGCTGGACGGAGGAAAAAAAGAAAGGGTGAAGAAACAGGAGAGTCGTTCTTATTCTGCTGTGGTGTTTGCTCGGTGGAAACCTGCATTGGTTGCGATGGCGAGTCAGACTGGAGTAAGCGCTGCTGTGTGAAGGACTTCACTTGACGCTGTAAGTCAGAAAACACACACACACACACACACACACACACACACACACACACACACACACACACACACACACACACACATAAGCGCATATATTTTAGAAAGTGGGGGCTGATGTGCTGGGGTGTGATGTCATGAAATGATTTTGATCTTAAAAATGAATCGGCTTGTGCAAGAATAATTAGATCTCTTATATGCAAATTTAAAAGCGTTTATACAACAGTTCGAAGGCATAATCGTGGGTATAAAAAATAAAATCAAACACAGAGAGTTTAAAAACTCTTTTGTAAGAGGAACTACTTTCTTGCGCCATTCATTCACATCTGCAGCTGACGTCAGAACAGCAGAAACCATTGCTAACTCACCAATGTCACTTTAGAGTTAGTGCTTGAATGATTCTCTATAGTTTAATGTCTAAAGTGATGGCAAAACAGCTGATTTTACTGACATTTTAAGATTATAAGGCTGAACGGCATGAAATGTATGGAGCTAATGATATGCCAAAACAATCTGAATTTGAATTGCTCATTTGAATTATTAACAATTGTAATTTAATAAAAAAGTTATAAAATTCTTAATTTGAATTTCTTAACTATATATATATATATATATATATATATATATATATATATATATATATATATATATATATATATATAATACATACATACATACATACATACATACATACATATATATATATATATATATATATATATATATATATATATATATATATATATATATATATATATATATATATATATATATATATATATATACATACACACACACACATACATACATTTTTTAAAATAATTTTTTTAAATAGTTTTTGTAGTCAATTGATTGCTTTATTTTGATTAGTCGACAAATTTACATTACAGATTTTTAATTATTCATTTTATTTATACTTAATTTAGGTTATAGTAATGTGCTTTTATTATGTACACTTGTATTAGTTTTATTTAATTATCTATATTTTTATTTATTTTTAATTTGCTATTTTAATACTTAAATTGAATTTAGTTTTTTTATTTTATTTTTAGTTTTAGCTATTTTTGTGATTTTTTTTTTTTTTTTGTAGATATTTAATTTACTTTTACTTCGTTTTATTTATTATCAGTTTTAAAAGCTGATCTTAAAAGTGCAAACATCCCTAGTGCTGTTTGTTTACTGAACTGTTTTTATAGTTTCATTTTAGTTCTGGTTTAGGGATATGTCATTATGCGCTTTTGTCAGTTTTTTTCAATAGTTGTTCTACTTTATTTTAGTTATAGTCAATTGATTGCTTTTTTTCTGATTAGTTGACAAGACAACATTGCAAATGTTCAATTGTTTACTTATATATTACCAACATACTTATTCTGACCTGGTTAAAATACATAAAAGATAAAATTTGATTATCGTTTTAAATAAAAAAACATGATATTGAATGGAAGAAATGTATAATACTCAATATTTTGGTTAAAAAAGTAACATTCTAATGTATGTTGGGGAAAAGCTCTATTAGACCCTTTTATCTTGTGATTTCTGTACATCTTCTTCAGATTTTTGTGTCTTTTTGCGTCACTTTAATACAACTTCTTCGGCTGTTTCATTCACCTTAAATTGTGTCCGTTCATCACTGGATGCGTTTCATGAGTGGCTGAACATTTATTCGTAATTTCCGCACAGCGAGTAGATTGGAACTTGCGTGTCTGAGAACATTACCTACTAACGGAATGAAAACCGCTCAAGAACTGCGTCCTGCTCGGTATTACATCCAGGACTGTCGGAGGAGGTTTGATGAAATGCAGGGGACACGTCCTCGGTGTAATGACATCTGTATGCACACAGCACACACACACACACACAGACACAAACACACACACACACACACACATAGTCTTTGCCAAAGGGACATTAGATTCCCTCTCTGGGCTCCCGCTGTTCAGAACCTGTGTTGTTCTTTTCCCCCCTCGCTTTCTTGGGATTGAAAAGATGAGGACAAGGGGCACTTTGAAGGAGGCTGGAATTGGCCGTGGTTTCGGTCGCAGTTGACAGATCGCCCTCCCCAATGTGTGTCTCCTCACCCTATTTAATCCCACGAGCCCCTGCTGTAGAAACCGGAGAGCAGAGGTGGACTTTAAAGCGGATGCATTATGCTCCTGTTCGTAAGATGTCAAATAAACCTCATTTATTTTAGTTTCTGAATTCTAGCCTTATATGGGTGCGAGTAAAAACATGCTTTAATGTTACTTTAAATGCAAATGAGCTTCCAGAAGAGGGCAGGGCATTTATACACTCAAAAAAAAAAAAAAAAAAATAAAAAAATAAATATATATATATATATATATATATATATAGTCCAAACTGCATATGCAAAATGAGCTGAAACAACAATTCAGAAGTTTTTTTTTCTTAACTGAATTGTTTTGTTCAATCTACTTAAATTTGTAAAAACTAAGTTAACTTAATTCCTTCATGTTGTCCCAGCACAAATCGATTATTTAATTGAAAGTTTTTTTAACAGTGTATAATTTTATGACGGGTGAAGCAGTGGCGCAGTAGGTAGTGCTGTCGCCTCGCAAAAAGAAGGTCGCTGGGTCGCTGTTTCGAGCCTCTGCTCAGTTGGTGTTTCTGTGTGGAGTTTGCATGTTCTCCCTGCGTTCGCGTGAGTTTCCTCCGGGTGCTCCGGTTTCCCCAACAGTCCAAAGACATGCGGTACAGGTGAATTGGGTAGGCTAAATTGTCCGTAGTGTGTGTGTGAATTTGTGTGTGGATGTTTCTCAGAGATGGGTTGCGGCTGGAAGGGCATCCCCTGCATAAAACCTTGCTGGATAAGTTGGTGGTTCGTTCCGCTGTGGCGACCCTGGATTAATAAAGGGACTAAGCAGACAAGAAAATGAATGCATGAATGAATAATATGACGTTTCAGAAACAAGAAAACTAGGGCTGAAGGAAAAATTTCGATTTGCGTTTGTCTATAATGTTAGTGTTGAGAAATCTACCCCTGCTGTAAAATTTACCCCCCTGAAATGTGCATCCAATAACTTAAATTGCTAAAATAATAATGATGCTAAAATAATAATGATAATAATAATAATAATAATAATAATAATAATAATAATAATAATAGAGTTATGACAACTAATGAGAGACACTGAGGTGAGTTTCATGAGTGGAACCCTTCCCTTACAGAAGATCAGGGCTTGACATTAACACCCGCCAAATGCAGGTAGATTTCAGCTCTGGCAGGTTAAGCCTGGTTTATACTTATGCGTTGAGTGATCGGCATGACCCCCAGCACATACAATGCGCATGGCCGAACTTAATACTTCTACACGCTGTTTCTGTTGCTTTGCGATAACACTTGTAGCGAAATTAGCTTAGTTTATGAATATTAATAATCAATAATAACGAGTTATTTTTAATGATTAATTTTCTGAATTAATTTTAATTAATTAATTTTTCTGAATTCATATGTCTAGTATGGATCTTGATTTAAAAATATTTAGATATTTGGATTGAAAACCAGACAAAACTAGTTAGTTTGTTTTTTATTTTATTATTATTGTTTTTATTTGTATTATTGTAACAGCTCGGGGATGAGCATTTTTGAAGAAAGGGTTGGAAATTAATGCTTTTGTTTTTTTTACTGAAATTAGTGATCTATTTAAAAAAATTATTGATTTATCTATTTTGTTTATATTTTTACTGATTTATTTTTATTTCTTTATTGTTTTTATTAATTTTTATTAATGTATTTTTATTTCATTGATTTTATTAATTATTATTGATTTATTAGATTTTTTATTGAATTATTTTTTATATATATATTTATTGAATATATTTTTATATATATCATTTTTATATATAATTATTATATATAATATATATAATTTTTATGAATATTTTATTGATTTATTTTAGACTCATTATTTTTGTGTATTCATCTTTATTTATTTATTGTTATTGATTTATTGATTGATTATTTATTTTTTATTTATTTATTTTTTAGTTTTTTATTTATATTTTTTATTGATTAATTTTTTTAATTTTATTGTTATTAGTTTTATTAAAATTTCTTTGTTTTTTTCCTTTATTTTTATTAACATTTTGTAATAACAATAAATATTTGTTATTGATTTATTACTTTTATTTTGTTTTATTGATTATTTTTATTTCCTTATTATTTTCATTTATTGTTATTGATTTAATTAATTTTTTATTGGTTTATTTTTTTATCTATGTAATTTTATCGATTTACTAATTAATAATTTTTTTATTGTTATTAACACTTCTTAATAACAATACATAATTTTTAATTAATTTATTTTTTATTGATTTAATATTTTTATTTATTGTTAGATTTATTTGTTTTTTATTTATTGTTATTGATTTAATTTATTTTTATTGATTTGTTATTTGTGTTGATTTATTTATTTACATTGATTTAGTTAATGTTTTTATTTATTTATTTATTTAAACTTCTTAATAACGATAAATATGTTTTATTAAATTTTTTTTTTCATTGATTTATTATTTTAATTTATTTGTATTGATTTATTTTATTATTTTTATTTATTGTATTGATTTAATTTTTATTGATTTATTTTTATTGACTGATTTGTTTTTTGATGTATTTATTGATTTTATTTGTCAATATTTATTTTAATTTTTTTAAATTTAATTAATTAATTTATTTATTCATTCATTAATTGAATTATAATCTAGCATTTTACATCTTCACATCAAAATTGTATGTTTATTTAGTAAATATGTATATATTATTAGCATAAATTCACTCCTTAAATCTTAAAATCGTTCATTTTAATTTACTGAAACAAACACACACACACATAGGAGAATTGTGTGTTTTTATATATACATAAATAATAAATACATTCTGTGATTTGTATTGTGTTGAGTGTGTTGGTGTTCCAGTAGATGTGTTAGCTGGTCAGCTGTGCCTCCTCCTGGTCAGCCTGCTTTTGTTGTTTTATCCAATTCATCGATTAATCGAAAAAATAATCCACAGATTAATTGATTATTAAGTAATCGTTAGTTGCAGCACTACATCCAACAACAAAACATTTGTAATGTTTTTCTTGCACAGACAGTGTAAATCTCTATAGCTCTCTAGCTTCTATAGCATCTAAACAGAAATGGCATCTGCCGAAGTGGTGCCAAGAGTGGAAACGTGTAGATTCAGGGCTGGCTTTATACAAATCTCGTAAGATTATGTCAATAGGGGCGCAGAATCTGAACTGCTAATTTTTTCTCATGCTTAAAGGAAAAGGATTAACAAAAGAAAGTTCCTGGGTTGCCCGTTTTGACATTTTCTGTGTTGATAAATGCACCAGATGCAAAATTATAGCACTTAAAGTTGGCAAAAGTCTAATTTTCACATTATGTCCCGCCTTGATGCTAAAGGTGTGGTGTTTTGTGTCCTCCACTTTAGCATTTTTATTGATTGATTGATTTTATTTTTTATTGATACATTTTTTTATAATTTTTTTATTGTTATTCATTTTATTTTTACTTTTTATAGATGTATTTTTTAAATGATTTTTTTTATTATTTTTATTTCTTTATTTTTACTATCACTTCTTAATAACAATAAATATTTTTTTACTGATGTATTGTTTTTATTTTGTTTTATTAATTATTTTTATTTATTTTTTATTTTTATAGATAATTTGTTTTTATTCATTGTTATTGATATATTTATTTTTATTGATTTAATTGATGTTTTTATTTATTTATTTAAACTTCTTAATAGCAAGAAATATTTTTTATTGATTTATTTTATTGATTTATTATTTTTATTGATTTATTGATTTTATTATTTTTTATTTATTGTTATTGATTGAATTTGTTTTCATTAATATATTTTGTTAAAAGATTATGTCAATGGGGCGCAGAATCTGAACTGCAATTTTTTTCTCATGCTTAAAGGAAAAGGATTAACAAAAGAAAGTTCCTGGGTTGCCCGTTTTGACATTTTCTGTGTTGATAAATGCACCAGATGCAAAATTATAGCACTTAAAGTTGGCAAAAGTCTGATTTTCACATTATGTCCCGCCTTGATGCTAAAGGTGTGGTGTTTTGTGTCCTCCACTTTAGCATTTTTATTGATTGATTGATTTTATTTTTTATTGATACATTTTTTTATAATTTTTTTATTGTTATTCATTTTATTTTTACTTTTTATAGATGTATTTTTTAAATAATTTTTAAAATTATTTTTATTTCTTTATTTTTACTATCACTTCTTAATAACAATAAATATTTTTTTACTGATGTATTGTTTTTATTTTGTTTTATTAATTATTTTTATTTATTTTTTATTTTTATAGATAATTTGTTTTTATTCATTGTTATTGATATATTTATTTTTATTGATTTAATTGATGTTTTTATTTATTTATTTAAACTTCTTAATAGCAAGAAATATTTTTTATTGATTTATTTTATTGATTTATTATTTTTATTGATTTATTTATTTTATTATTTTTTATTTATTGTTATTGATTTAATTTGTTTTCATTAATATATTTTGTTAAAAGATTATGTCAATGGGGCGCAGAATCTGAACTGCAATTTTTTTCTTATGCTTAAAGGAAAAGGATTAACAAAAGAAAGTTCCTGGGTTGCCCGTTTTGACATTTTCTGTGTTGATAAATGCACCAGATGCAAAATTATAGCACTTAAAGTTGGCAAAAGTCTGATTTTCACATTATGTCCCGCCTTGATGCTAAAGGTGTGGTGTTTTGTGTCCTCCACTTTAGCATCTGTCAGATAAGCAGAGGAAGATGAAGCTGAAGAAGCAGGTGACAGTCTGCGGAGGGGCCATCTTCTGTGTGGCCGTCTTCTCCCTCTATCTGATGTTGGACCGCGTCCAGCACGATCCGGCCAGGAGACAGAACGGCGGGAACTTTCCGAGGGTACGTCGCCGATCGCCTTATGAAGTCTTTTTGTCCCCGATTACATTTTTTGCTGTGTGGGTCTGTTTGAATGGCTCCATTTATCAAAGCCTTCTGTGTGTGCATGTATGTGTGTGTGTGTGTTTTATGGCTAGCAAGTGTAAAGCAAGTGATGTGAGCATTTCTGGCTCAGGCTGGAGATAATTAACTACTAAATTAGCTGGTAAATGACTCTGTGTGAGTGCTGTTTTTTTCACCACCACAAACCGAAGGCTTTTTAAATGCAAAACCTAATTATTAGAAAAAAGTGCTGGTGTCCTTTTGAGAAATGGTGTGCAGGCTGACGCAGTCGATGGAGCGTGAATTAGCACATTTTATGCACCTAAAATGTAGGCCTCAAGAGAAATAATGCACATTATGGAAATGCAGATGTTGTTTATATTCAAAGCTTGTACTGAATCTGAATTTTTCAATTTGATTGTCAGGGAGTTTGGCACCAGCAAACATTAATGACATTTGATGTTAGTAATGCTTGCTCAAGCAAGGGATTTGAAGAAACTCCCAGTCGGGAGAATTATGTTTTAACATGTAACTCGTTCCTCACCTTTTCTAATGCGGATCAGAATGATGCTTCAAATCACGCAGCTTGTTGAAAAGAGGTGTTTTATTGCTTTTCTTTGCCCTCAGACTTGTGATCTGCCCTGGGGGATGATAAAATAGCAGGAAAATGTAATTATGGTGATGTAGGAGATCTGTACATATAGAAGAACCAGAACATCGTCCCTTATGAACCTCTCCAGAACATCCTAGAGAAAAACCTTAAATATACATTTACTAAATATAAGTAAATGCATGATAAATCATAATATATCCATATCTCACTAGTTATTAGTCGTTGAGTATGTACTTTACTATTTTTTTATTTAGTTTTATTTTATTTTATTTATTATAGATTTATTTTTATTTCTTTATCGTTTTTATTGATTTATTATTTTTATTAATTTATTTTTATTTATTTTCTATTGATTTGTCTATTTTGTTATTATTAATTATTTTGTGATTATTATAGATTGAATTTTTTTATTGATTTATTTTTATATAAATTTTTATGAATATTTTATTGATTTATTTTGATTTATTTATCTTTTTTTACTTATTTTGATTGATTTATTGATTTAATTATTTTTATAAATTTTTATTGATTGATTGATTTTATTTTTTATTGATACATTTTTTTATAAATTTTTTATTGTTATTCATTTTATTTTTACTTTTTTTAGATGTATTTTTAAAATCAATTTCTTTATTATTTTTATTTCTTTATTTTTACTATCACTTCGTAATAATAAATATTTTTACTGATATATTGTTTTTATTTTGTTTTATTAATTATTTTAATTAATTTTTTATTTTTATTGATAATTTGTTTTTATTTATTGTTATTGGTCTATTTATTTTTATTGATTTATTTGATGTATTTATTTATTTATTTAAAGTTCTTAATAGCGATAAATATTTTTTATTGATTTATTTTTATTGATTTATTATTTTTATTGATTTATTTATTATTTTTATTTATTGTTATTGATTTAATTCGTTTTCTTTAATTTATTTTATTAATTAATTTATTTTTATTGATTTATTTATTTTGTTTGTTGATATTTATTTTTTATTTATTCATTTTAATTTTTTTATTTTAATTAATTAATTAATTAATTTATTTATTCATTCAATAATTGATTCATATTTTAGCACTTTAAATCTTCACATCAAAATTGTATGTTCATTTAGTAAATATGTATATATTATTAGTACAAATTCACTCCTTAAATGTGCATCTTAAAATCGTTCATTTTAATTTACTGCTTTAATTTAAACATCTAAAAAAAAACAAATTAATATTAATGGAGAAACAAACACACACACATAGGAGAATTGTGTGTTTTTATATATACATAAATAATAAATAAATAAAACTTACCCATGTATCTAAAATAAATATTGTTTTATTGTTTCTTCCCTACTAGAGGTATTCAAATGTTTATTATTATTATTATTTATTATTTTTAATTGTAGTTTTGTGTTCCCAGTTTAGTCATGTGTGAGTTTGAGGTCAGGAGGTATTTCTTAATTTATTACAAAATGTCTAGTTCTGCTGGTGAGTTCTGTGACTTGTATTGTGTTGAGTGTGTTAGTGTTCCAGTAGATGTGTTACCCGGTCAGCTGTACCTCCTCCTGGTCAGTCGTGCGATGCTGTAGACTGTGGTTGGTAGATAGATCACACCTCCATCCCGCTCCTTGTTTTCAGAGCCAGATTTCGGTGTTGCAGAACCGCATCGAGCAGCTGGAACAGCTCCTGGAGGAGAACCATCAGATCATCAGCCACATTAAAGACTCAGTGCTAGAGCTCACTGATACGGGCGCCATCTCTCCCAGTGGACACCTGCCCTTCCGGAGCGCCAACGGCTCCTGGGTGCTGCCGTTTGATGGACGGCCCACGTTTCTCTCAGTCAAGCCATTGGACTGCCAGTTTGCTCTGGGCCGCAGGAGCCAAACTGACCTGCAGGTAAGAATGGACAGTTTGAGGAATGACTTGATTTGAAGGTGCTGTTTGTATGGGAGAAGAAGTGAGTTTTGGGATTCACTTGTTGCGGTTTTAGAGTTTGGGATTTCTGGATAAAGTTGAAAAGAATCCGTAACCACAGTTCTGTAATCACTAGGGGTCTGGGAATTCTGTGTATAATTTACTATTTAAATCAACAAATATTTTCTTGTTTTTTAAATTATGATTGTGACATTTATTATATGAAAAATAAATAAATAAATAAATAAATAAAAAAAGCTTTTTTTTGTATGCTTATAATATAGAAATATTGCAAAAAATATATATTTTAAATTATATAAAAATTTGATTTATTTTATTGATTTATTGTTTTTATTTCTGTTTATGTTTTTGGTGATTTATTTTATTTAGTGATAAATTTTTATTAGTTTTATAATCATTAATTTTTTTATTTGTATTGATTATTTTTTTATTTATTATTTATTTATTTATTTTTATTTGATTAATTTATTTGTCTATGTTTATTAATTATTTTAATTTTTTATTTTTTATTGATTTATGTATCTTTACTTATTTGTTATTGATTTATTTTATTGATTTATTGCTTTATTTTTATTTGTTAATTTAGATTTTTCTATTGATTTACTTTATTTATTTTTATTAATTTATTTTTATCGATTTTATTTTTATTGATTTAATTATTTTATTGATTTATCTTTATTTCTTATATTTATTTATTTATTTATTGTTTATTTATATAATTATTGCTTATTTTTTATTGATTTATTTTTATTGGTTTATTTAATTTAATTTATTTTTTAACTGATTTATTTTAATTTCTTTTTTTTTTTTTAATTTTTTTATATGTTATTTGTTGATGATTTATTTATTTATAATTTGTGTTTATTGTTATTGATTTATTTATTTTATTGATTTACTTTTATTGATTTATTATTTTTATTTTGTTATTTTTGTATTAATTTATTTAATTATATTTATTTATTTATAATTGCTTTATTTCTTTTTAAAATTATATTTATTTATTTATTGTTATTTTTATTGATTTATTTTTTCTTTTTTTGTGAATTATTTTTACAATTTTTTTTAGTGATTTACTTTTACTGATTTATTTATTTTTCATTAATTAATTAATTCCTACTCCAGCACTTCACATCTTATAATCAATCTTTTATACATCTGCCATTTTATTAAATTTACCAGCTGATACTAAACACTAAAATGATACAATTTTTTTTAAATAAGATTAAAATTCCATTTGGCATAATGAATGAAACTAATAAGGTATACCATCATTCTATAGTAAATATGAAGTCATTGTTGAGCACTACCCCAAGAAAAGCTCTTTCCCTGTATAAACAGTATAATCATTTCTTATAAAAATGACCTTTAATAGCAGTTTTGCACTCCTCAGATACGGGTTATATTTTAATATTTTGAGCACATCAAAGAATATCTGTTCAAAACACCTCTAAGACCTGACATGTTGTGAACGGGTGCTTTTAGTCTCCATTGGGTGCTTTAGACTCTCGCCTACACTAAATACAGTTCTTGTGTCATCTGTCAGTTACATCAAATTGCCAAGAGACCTGGAATTTATTAGAAACTCTCCTACATTCTCAGTTTTATGGGAAATTGCTGCTTATAATCACTTTATTTCTGTTTCCAAGGCTTTGGTAAATAAATATGTTTACACTGACCGACTGACTTTCATCATCATATCTCTGACCTGATTATTTGGCTGCAGATGCTGGATGTTTATTCCTTGCTGAACTTTGATAATGTGGACGGAGGGGTCTGGAAGCAAGGCTTTGAGATCACCTATGAGCCCAACGAGTGGGACGATGAGCCCTTGCAGGTGTTTGTGGTTCCGCATTCGCACAACGATCCAGGTAGGGATCCAAACTTAAATTCACTGCAACAAGCATCAAGCTCTCCTGTTGAAGAATTTATGAAGCTCTGCTCTGAGTTCTGTCTTCGGGGTTGGAAGCGATTTCATCTGATGCAGGGAAAATGAAATCTAGACCATTTTTTGAAAGAGCCAATCTTTTTGCTGTGTTAATCCACTCCCAACACTTCTTCATAGCAATGATTCAGTCAGATGCTGCACAATATCTGTCAGATTTGGCTCCATATTGGCATCGTGATGGCGTCACAGTTGCTATTGAGTTTTGAGTAATCCATTTTCAAGCTAAAGAAACTATTTTGAGATGATTGAGTGTTCTGTCATGTTAACCTAACAAATGTGGCTATCACAAGGTGTTTCCCAGTACTGCGTTGCAGCTGGAAGAGCATCCCCTGCTTAAAACTGGAATAATTGGCAGTTCACTCCGCGGTGTTGACCTCTAAAATAGAGACTAAGAAGAAGTCAAATGAATGAATTATTTTTCATCAACATCAACAAGGCATTTTCACCCACTAAATTTCCACTAACTCCTATTATATTTCTTAATGTGTCTTCATTTCCAGAGCATTCTCTGTAAACCTTAGAGATGGTTGTGCGTGAAAATCCCAGTAGATCAGCAGTTTTTGAGATTTCAGATCAGCCCAATTGGCACCAGCAACCATGCCACAGTCAACGTCACTTAAATCCCATTTTCCCCCTATACTGATGCTCATTTAGTCTTTTAGTAGATGGTCTTGACTACGATTGTCAAAAGTGTTGACTTCGAAAGTACGAAACGCTACACAATTAAAAAAATGTCCATTTCCTGTTAACATTTAAGCACTGTTAAGCGTGTTCTTAAAGATTGCTGATTGGGCCATTGTGCTCATGTGCACTACAGATATGATCAGCTGAACTGTCTATGAGCTGACATACATGCCATTCGCTGACGGATCGACTGATTGACGCAGCTTTGAAGCACTAAAGCCTGTTCCACACTGCAAGCGTGAGCAGTGTGTGTTTGTTTCGGTGTACATGTTAACAGATTAGATTTATCATACTGCACACAGAAGCAGCACATCAGCACGAGGCGTCGCTCAAGCAGCAGTGCTGCGATAGTTTCAGCACTGAGTCTATTTTTGTCGTGTTGCTCAAGCTCAATTAAAGTGACAGTACATTGATAACGACCAAAAACACATTGAATGACATTAAAAAGTAGCAAATTTACCCAATAAATGCATCGATAATATCCACTGATTTTTATATATTCAATCAAATGACCTTAAACAATTCAAAACGGCAACAAATATTTATTTGGGCCTGAACTACAAAACCAAATTCAAAACAATTTTAATATTAGTTTTGCTTGAGTTGCACACTAGTTTGATCATGTATAAATATCATTATAACTATATTGCATAAATATTATTATAACTATAGGCCTACATCATCCTGACAATCAAAAACAAAATGACATAATGGGCCCTATCATACACTCGGCGCAATGTGGCGCAAGGCGCGACGCAATACTTGTTTGGTAGTTTCAGCTTGGCGCAAGAGTCGTTTTGAGGTGTTGCGCTACGCTGTTTAAATAGCAAATGCATTAGCGCTCATTTGTGCGCCCATAGGCGTTCTGGTCTAAAAAGGAAGACGTTTTGAGGCGGACCGCTGGCGCGTTGCTATTTTGAGAAACTATAATAGATTTTTCATTAGACCAAAACTAACCTGGTCTAAACTTGCGAGTTGCGCCTCGCTTACGCACTGCTTAATACGCACAAGAGAGCAATAGGCAAATATCTTTACATATGAACAAATTTAAATATTAAGGATATATAAAGGATATAATAAGAACAGATATAGAATATAAATATAAAGGATTAAAATATTACAAAACATATTATTTTCTAGCCTACATAAATATGAAAAATCACTGCTTTTATGTCTTCTTCATCTCGGGAGGCTTTTTCAGTTCATTCATAACAATTTGCTTTTGTATAATGTTATTATTATTAGCAGTATTATTTATTATATCCATATTTATATTTTTTTTATTAAAAACAAGCTTAGATTTGCCCACCTGTCAGGTTTTAGACCATATGGGGCACAGCATGTGTTTCAGGATATAACTCAGGTTTTTGAAGACATTTCGTCATTATTGTTCATTTGTTCGTTTGCTGGAAATTAGAACTGAATTTGGAAATAGTTTTGAAACTAATATTTGCGCTTAACAAACGAAATGAATTATTTATAGACTAATTAATGTCTGTGCGTAAAGGTTTCCCCATCCAAGAGCGAATGTGAAAGTACATCCATTATCTCTCATTCTCACGCAGTAGATGCTCTGTTTCACAGTTTTCTGTTAAAAAAACTGTTAACTGTTAACTGTTTGCTTGTGAAATGCCCAGTTTTTCCACTTAGACTTACTTTGCGTCCTGTAAATAGCGAATGCGCTTTTGGCGCGACGCAGCTGGCTCTTAAAGGGAATGGGAGATGAGACTCTAATTGGTTTATTCTCAAAACACACCTATAGCTCATTAAGAAAATAAACTCAACCCTTTTAGACCATGCGCCACGGCGCAAAGCAGATTTTCCCGTCCTTAAATTAGCAAAAAATGTGTTCTGACACACCCTGAAAGCGTTTGCGCCCTGAGAGCGTGAGAAGCTGACAGTTCTTTAGGATCTATATAATTTGTAAAATAAAGACTTGCAGGTTATGGAGACAGCATAGGATGAAGTAGAGCTGTAATCGGGCCATAGAAGTTAGGCCCAATAGGGCCCGAGCCCAACAAGTACATTTTGATTGACAGCTTTTTAAAAGCCAGACCCGTTTACAGCCCGACATTATTCAAATGTGTACATGCACACAGCCTTTTTTCATGGATGAGTCGTTTATACGTGTTTTAACATAATTTATTGATAACAAACATAGAACCATAGAACCACCATCTCAGCACTCTAAATAGGCCCAGGTACAGACACTGAGCTTTTAAATTGGCTAACACACCAATAAAAATAAGTCTTTCTTAACCAATTAAAATGAAATAAATTATGACTGGAATTTGGCAATAGCGAAATTAAGATAAAGGCTCTGTGGGATTGGTTTTGCCACTTCTCTTTACAATCTGGCATTAAGGTGACTGTGAAGCTGAATAATAAAAGAACAATGCCAACATAAGCCTATATACTCTGTCTACACTATGATTTTATGGTTTATTTAAAATTTTGTTATAATTTGAAAATCCTTTACACACCAAGATTAGTATTTGTAAACGTGTTTTTATGGAGGAACATTATTGAATCCACTGTAAATGGCTTTAGCGCAGTCCTGCGCTCACTGAGAAGCACTGAACACCCTTTCACTGCTGCTGCTTCTGGTTCTAATTTTGCAAGTTTTGGGTAGGATTGTTTGTTCATCTTCCACCAGGCAAGAACATTCATTTCATTTTCCATGACAGCGGTTTCAGTGTAACAAGGACCTCGTCATCTTTCCTGTCAGCTTGCTGTACATTGCTGTTTAGCGCTCTACCGTAATACACAATGTATGAGCAACTGCCGAAATACCTAGGTGGCTAAAATTACCGTTCTTATTGACCTGGCGCTGGTCTGACCACAGTCAAAATTCACTTTTTTCTCCGTCATCATTTGTTTCACTTTTGCAGGAATGAATTTTAATGTTGTAACAAACGATTAAATTACTTTCTCGCGCTAATCGAAATGCATCAAATGACTGTTCATGTACTGCGCAAGTCCAAGCCCGGCCCGACCCCATCTAAAATGATAGAATTTAAGCCCGAACCCACCCGTTGGGTTACGTCAAGTTTAGGCAAAGATCTTCGACTCTAAGAGGAATTTGCCACAGGCCTTGGTGCAGATGAAAAGTAAAAAAGTGTGTGTGTGTGTATATATATATATATATATATATATATATATATATATATATATATATATATATATATATATATATATATATATATATATATATATATATATATTTATTTATTTATACAACAGTTCTGTCTGGTTCTCGAATCTGATTGGCTGATAGCTGTGATATATTTAAGTAATATCAGCACTCGTACAGCCTCTTTACCCTTTGTGTATTACTCCGCCCACATACAGCCAGCAAAAAGCAGACACTACAGATCCAAAGTTTAAAAGATGCTTGTTCAGCTGTTTAACTGTCAGCTTATGATTTAAATCCAACATGGAAGAAAGTAGTTCCTCATACAAAAGGGTTTTTAAGACTTTCCGTGTTTGATTTTGTTTTTAAATACACAATTATATATAAAATTATTATAAAATTGACTTTAAAATGGTTTAAGAAAATTAAAACCTGCTTTTACTCTAGCTGAAATAAAACAAGTAAGACTTTCTTTCCAGAGGAAAAATATTATAGGAAATGCTGTAAAAACTCCTTGCTCTGTTAAACACCATTTGGGAAATAATTGAAAAAGAAAATCAGTCACAGGAGGGCTAATCGTTTTGACTTCAACTGTACATACCTAAATGCTGGCAAGCGATTGGCTGATTATTTTGCATTAGCGAGCAGTTAAACCATTGCACCTAATAAAGAGGCGGGTGAGCGTATGCTGCTGTTATCCTGCTATCTGGTTTCCTGCTACCTGCATAATGCATTAAGTCTGTGGTCTTAAGCGAAGCTATAGTTTTGTGATCACAGCTGGTCCTGTAACTGGCTCCAAAATCTCAAGTTTCAAAACAGAAAGCAAAGCATCATAAAAGAATTATAAAACAATCAATAACATTTGCCACGTGGTTTGCTGGTTAAAAGGCTGCTGGAGATCATTTTCATTGAACAAAATAATTCAATTTCAGTCGGTTTCGCATGTAAGGCTATCATGCAGCTTCAGAAGAGAATGATTTTCAATGGACTTTTAAGCAGCAATGCTCCAAGCCTTCAACTGCTAATCTAAATTAGCCAATAATCACTTCCTGTTGGCCATTTTTCATCTCTTGCACATTAAACAGTTGTTATTTTCATGCGATCCTATTTAAAGAGTTCAGTTTCAGAGGCAGACTATGAGAGATTTGAACACTATGAAGAGCTTCCAAAATGTTTGTGTTAGATTTTTACCAAATGAAGTGGACTTTAGTTAAAACAAACACAGATTTAAGTTTGTTCACTTAACAAAGCTGCATTAATAAATATGTTGCTAGCACATACTACTATGTTATTGTATTGTTAGCATGTTTTAGATTAGTTGTTGCTAGCTTTTGATACTGATAATTCAACGCTATCTCATGGCAACTTATTGATTCAGTGGCTAATTCATATTAATTAGCATGATTTGTTCATCCCCCAATGATGGTTGGGATTAAGGGTGAGGTTTGTTGCCACGCCTCTTTTAAACATTGTAGATTAACTTGTATGATTGTGTATGAATTAGACACTGAACTGACAAAACAAAAAAATAGGTTTTCTCGCAAGATCAGGCTGGATAATCAGATTCAGATCAGGGGTCACCAAACTTGTTCCTGGAGGGCCGAGTCCTGCAGATTTTAGCTGCAACCCTAATCAAACACACCTAAACAAGCTAATCAAGCTCTTACTAGGTCCCGTTTACACTAGTGCGTTTTAATTTTAAAACGGTGTTTTAGAATGAAAACGATCTGTGTCCACACTAGCGTTTTCATCCAGCGTTTCTGAACAGCTCTTCGTCCACACCAAAACACTGAAAACTCACATCACGTGACGACACACATACTCTCGGGCAAGTGCTGCAGCCTATCTACCCAGATGAGAGCTCTGCTAGTCCGACTGCTCATCAAGCATCTCCCGCTGGATCTAATCTCACAATTTTTTTAAATGTTATATTTCATTCATCTTGTTGTTTATATCTAACAACATATTCCCCGACTGTGGTCATTGGAATCTATTACTTGTTCTCAGGTAACGTGTTTTGGCTGAGCGCAAAGATAAGTTGATGATTAATGTAACCCCGTAGCCTACATTCTGTATATTGACTGATCGCTTGCCTTTATTTCCTATAATGTATAAACTTATTGAACGTTATACTTTTATAATGGCCATTATCGATTATTAAAACTGATATTCAGCAAAAGAGAGGGTATGTTTTGTATTTTCACTGAAATTGAAACGAGGCAGTTGTTGTAGGCTCCATTTTGTTATAAATATCCAGACAGTGAAGATGACGCTCATATATGCAGCGCAACGCCTCAACATTTCTGCTGTCAGTTAAGTTGCTAATATCAAAATGAAAATAGGCAGTTCTTTAAATCATGTTTACATTTTATTGTTGAGAAAGTGAAACGACGTAGCCAGGATTATGTGAAGTTATAAAGTACACTGTTCCCTTTGAAGATTAACCCGTGTCCTCGGTAGTCTGTTTTCCATATCAAACTGAGGAGGGGGAGACTGCAGCCTTGATCAAACTTGCGAAGTCTGAACTTACAAGAAGAGTATGCAGGACTGAACTGTGTGTAACGTTAGGCTACTTAATATTGAGGAAAAGCTCCAATCATAAAGGCGAATGTCTGTAGCCCCGCCTCCGTTTTCAGATGTCTTCGTTTTCCCCCATTCACACTGAGACGGAGCAGCAGCGATTTAGAATGAAAACTGCCTCTCCAGCATTTCCAAAACGCTCCGTTTTTCAGCGCTCGAAAACTCCGGCGTAGTGTGATGGATGGCGTAACCGTAGCAGAACTTATGCGTTTTTTTAACACGAAAACGCATTAGTGTAAACGGGGCTTAGGTTTACTTGAAACACCCAGGCAGGTGTGTTGAGGCAAATCGGAGGTAAACAGTCCCGGCCCTACAGGACCGAGATTGGTGACCTCTGGGATTGGCAATGGCCTGAAAGTCTTGAAGTGGATGTATAAGGATTGAAATCAGTGTTAGATTTATTGTTTGAAGTCCCTGTATGGAAGGGATTTTCTGTGCCATTTATCAGAAAACCATAAGTTAGGTTGGTCATAAAAGAAATAAAAATTTGGTCACACTTAATTTGAACTTTTACCTATGGCTTTTAGCTTAATAAACGACCTATTTGTTGCTTATTGATTTTTATTAAGTAAATAGTTGGGTTTAGGTATTAGGTAGGATTAAGGATGTAGAATAAGATTATGCAGAATACAATTGTTTTTTTAATTGTTAATAAACAGTTGTAAGAGGCTAAATTATCATATGCGTTTGTTTATATGACAAAAATGTCATTTTGACTCAAGAAGGTCCATACTGACTCCACTCTGCTCCTCTCCTCCTCTGGCGTCCTGGTATGTGGACTTTGGGGGTTGAACGATGTGGTCACATGTTGATTGGTCAGTTTGAATGTTTCAGCATTTGGGCTTTAGTCACATGGTCAAGAAAGATACAAAATAGGTGTAAAACTCTGCTCTGTCTCTTTTCCTGGCCCTCTCTTTTCTTTCTCTGTACTCTCCTGCTCTGCTCCTCTCCTCCTCTGGCGTCCATCACCTCTGACTCTACTGCAATCAGGCTAACTTCTGGGCCTGCTCTCTTTTTCTCTCTCTCCCTCCCCCTTTGTCTCGTCTTCTACTTCTGGTAACTTTAATTTTACATTTAAGCTGGGTACAATTTATATCATATGTTTTATCATTTTATACAGTTATTTTGTAATGAATTCAGTTGTAACCATAGAGAATTATTGTCATTAAATCATCTCATGTTCAAGTATTTGTGAATTGCTTTTGATTTAACATCAACGTTTAATTGTTCCATATTGCAGTACAATACAATAACATAATATCAACGCTCTCCCATTTTTATAGCTATTAATACTGCCCTTATTTCCGTTTTTGGTATGAGATTGCAGAAGAATGATTTGACAAGAAATGTACAGTTTTTTTACTTTGGAATGCAGCAACATGCGAAACTTGTCGCAGGAACTTGCGTTTCCATTCACATGTGTATGAATGGAAGTCTATAGACTGAAAAAAGTGCAGCTTTAGGTAGTTATAGCTTGAAATTTGTGTAAATTTAGAAATAATAATAGGATTAGATAGAATTGTGATGCTTTGGCAACATCATAATACTGGTTATAAGGAGGAATACAATTCTTTGTCTTTACTTGAGATATTTATAACTGCTAATGTGATGTTAAAATCACTTTTATAAGGGGTTTAAACCTATTTGTGTGGCAAAAGTCTGTGAATATAATCAGCTTTTATTGGTAAAAAATAGTCATTTATCTTTTATAATCACACTTGATGAAAACAGTCTGCAGAAACACTTCGATTGACATTCTTCCTTTGTACGTGTCATCAGAGGGGGAAAGCCCCGCCCATTATTGTTGATCTCTCCCTCATTAGCATAAGATGTTAGTCCTGTTTTTCAATCTGCCACTTTGCTGACACACAGACATTTGTAGCTCCGCCCACTTATGATAGGAGCACAATCTCATTTGAATTTAAAGCGACAGTCAAAAAAATGCCACATTTAGGATCAAAGCCTAAAAGGGGCAGTTTCAAAGAGTGATGAGACATTATTTGTGAGGTATTTTGAGCTGAAACTTCACATACATGCTCTAGGGAAATCAGAGACATATTTTAAATCTTCTTAAAAAGGGGCAAAATAGGTCCCCTTTAAGTGCATGCAATAGTTTTCATTTAATTCCAGTCTTAATGCACCAAGCATCCTCACCTAGCAGTGTGTATCTGAGAAAGCCATACAGGTAAAGTGGGTCAGATGCTGCTGGGCTGGCGTTGTGCAGCGTCGGCACAATTTGTGAAGTGTCGTAAGAAAAACACAATGAGTTTTAACATCGCCTACAGGACAGATGAGTTCCCAAATCTGCCTGCAGCACCCCTGTGGTTGGCATTTTTTTCAGTGCTATAAAACACCAGAGACTTTAAGTCAGTGACCCGATTCTCTGTTGTTTTATTGGGGTCAGTGTCGTGCCACTGGTATATGTGTGCTGCTGCACATTTAATGCCCATTATGTAATGCTGATCATATTCCCTGTATGTTTCTCAACTTTAAATGTCTTTCTGCCATTCTCGGGGTCATTGTCGACGTGTTGTTCCTGCGCTGATATTTTCGCATGCCCCAGCAGAGCTTCAGAATAATGAACAGATGGTGTTATTATGAACAGGTTGTTCTTCGGAGAATAAAACAGCTCTGCTCCTTTTAAACTTTTCAGCGTTTTATCAAAAGGGTGTTTGTTTTAAGCGCAGATCCTGTTGTTGGTTGTTCTGTGGTGGCAGAACTTGCTCAAAACTGCTCGGCTTTAACAATGCACTTCTTTTATTGACAGGATGGATCAAAACGTTTGACAAGTACTACAACGACCAGACCCAGCACATCTTAAACAACATGGTGACGAAGATGGCAGAAGATCCTCGCCGGAAGTTCATCTGGTCGGAAATATCGTACTTCGCCAAATGGTGGGAAAGCGCAGATGTGCATAAACAAGAGGTTATGCGCAAGTGAGTTCGGTTTTTCTCAAGTTATTTTGAGAAAATATATTATCTATATATAAATATATATATATATGTATAAATGGATGAAATATATTATTTAAGATAAAACGTTTAGGGGCAGGACTTTTTATATTTTTATCTTCATTGGCTGTGGGTTGTATATGCAGCAATCAGCAGTGTCTAGTCTAGAAGGGATGCAGCTGCGGATGCGCACATCAATATATCGTAATTTCTTTGACACTGTACAAAAATAATTACTGTTTAAGATGGGGGTTGATGTCAATAAAATATAATATACTGTGTAATTTAATAAATAATATAAATAATAATCAATTTAATGATTGTTTTTTCATTTACTGTGAGGCTTGGGGTAGGGGTAGATGTTATAAGTCCACATGAACTGGAAGCTGCGAGCGTATTTATTTATTTTTTTCGTATTGTGATTCAGTTCCTAGAGAAACCGAATGTTAAATGAGAAAACAGTGGGTGTGGCTTGTTTTTGGACGTAGTAGAGTAGACATTTCATTCAGAAAGATTGGGAAAAGGGTTTTAGAAGAGTTATTACAAGCTAACAGACACCTCCTCCTCACCATTTCTGTTTGTTGTCAAAACTTACAGCTGGAGGGGTGTGGTTAAATATGTTAGCCCCGCCCAATACCTCAGACTGACGTAATCTGAGAGTGTAGCTGAAAACAAACAGGAAGTGCATTTTCAGATTTCAATTAATGATTACAAGAGCAATTTTTTTTCTTAATGACATGCACAGATGAATTGTTCACCACAAAACAAGCAATGTGAGCAAGAAAAATCATATGGTTAGTTTTGATTTGATTTGTATAGTGGTCCCTTGTTTATTGCAGGAGTTAAAAATAACCCTCAATAGGCGAAATCCGCAGGTAAAGTAAATAAAGTGAACAGCTTTCTTTTTTTCTTTTTTTTTTTTTTTTTTACAATTTTAATAGATGTTTTAAGGCTGTAAAACCCCTCACTACACACTTTATACCAGGGGTCACCAATCTCTGTCCTGGAGGGCCGGTGTCCCTGCAGGGTTTAGCTCCAACTTGCCTCCACACACCTGCCTGGATGTTTCAAGTATACAAAATAAGACCTTGATTAGCTTGTTCAGGTGTGTTTGATTAGGGTTGGAGCTAAAGTCTGCTGGACACCCGCCCTCCAGGAACAGGTTTGGTGACCCCTGCTTTATACACTCTTCTCAGACAGCCATTAACATTTTCACACTTTTCTCTCTTGTTTAAACTCTCAAAGTTCAAACTTTCGTAGAAAAGTAAGTCCAGAATTTTAGAATGAAACCAAAGATTAAAACCTGTTGTCAGGCACAAATATTTATCGCTGTCAGCAAAAGGTTCGTAAAGCTTTAATGTCGGAATCTAGCATAAGGTTCTTTTTCCTGCAGTCACTGATCCACAAAGAGGAGATTTTTTTAAGGAGATTGATTGACAATGGACTACAGCCAGTCAGGACGCAGAACACAATGCACTAAAAAAAAAGCGTGTCAAATTCAAGACAGGTGATTTTGCTGACATTTTGAGATTATAAGGCTGAACGGCATGAAATGCCATCAGTCTACAGAGATTTCCCAGTATTTCAGCAATCGGGAGATTACAATATTACTATGGTATAAATACAGCACTTCAATATACAAAAGAGAGAGATAAACTTAGAAAGTCATTTACCTGTTTAATAATGATTTGATCAGCTGTAAGTTAGTTTAAATTACGCTGTTTCCTCTGGGGGCTTATTATGCGGTCTCTGTTGCCATCTTAAGTAATCAGAAATCAGTAATCAGACTGATAGAAGGTGTGGGCTGTTTGGAGCATACAAATCCTTTATTTTTTACATGAAAGATATTAAAGTTTAGTGACTTGGTTAAATTTAAAACAGCACAATTTATGTTTAAAGCTAGGAATAAATTACCAAAATGTACACAAAGGTTTTTTGAAGAAAGACAAGGGGCATATAATCTGAGAGAAAAACTAAATTTTAAGAGGTTAAAAACAAGGACAACTTTAAAAAGTTTGTGTATGTCTGTGGTGTGAAATTATGGAACAGTCTAGAACACTCTCAAACAATGTCAGCATAATAATCAGTTTAAAAAGTTGTATAAATATATATTATTAAAGGAATATAATGATGAAGGTGATTGAAAAAGGATAAAAAGGTTTAATGAAACTTTAATTAATGGATATTTGCAGTACTATGTTTTTTTTTTCTTTGGGTCTATGTTACAAAATGTAAAATATGTCTCATGTAAAAAAAGAGATGAGTAAAGTGGCGCAGTGGGTAGCACGTTTGCCTCACAGCAAGAAGGTCGCTGGTTCGATCCTCGGCTCAGTTGGCGTTTCTTTGTGGAGTTTGCATGTTCTCCCTGCGTTCGCGTGAGTTTCCGCTGGGTGCTCCGCCACAGTCCAAAGACATGAAGTACAGGTGAAATAGGCTAAATTGTTCGTAGTGTATGAGTGTGTGTGTGTGTGTGTGGATGTTTCCCAGAGATGGGTTGCGGCTGGAAGGGCATCCGCTGCGTAAAAACTTGCTGGATAAGTTGGCGGTTCATTCCGATGTGGCGACCCCAGATTAATAAAGGGACTAAGCCTTTTTTAATCTGAATGAATGGATGAATAAATGAATAGACGAATGAAGTACGTGGTAATGGGGTGGGAAAATAATAAGCTTGTGCTTCATCCCACTCCATTTTCGACCATGTTGAAATGTATTTTTTGGTAATGATATTTTATGTATGATATTGTGATCGAAAATAAATCAAATCAAATCAAATCTTGTGAATGAACATCAACCATCTTTGCTCAAAAACGCAGACGCAGTGTCTCTCAGAAATGATAAATATTTTAAAATATGCACTATCCTTATAAATGAACTGCGCAGTTGCAATCTAAACAACTACATTCTCGACTAAAAAAAGCCTCAAAAGTACATTTTGTTGTCCAACAGCAGCAATGTTTGTCAAACTGTAGAGTGTCCTCTGCTTGTATCTGTATATTGGCGGAGTAATACACAAGGGTGAAGGGTTAAGAGGCTTTACGAGAGCTGTTATTGCAGAATGTCACACAGCTATCAGCCAATCAGATTCAGGAATCAAACAGAACTGTTGTATAAACTATAAACTACAGTAAAAGCACTAGAAAGCACTCAAATAAATGCATACAAGATGTCGTTAAAATGTTTAAAAGCTAGCGTATCTGTCCAAAACCGTCCATTTCCACAATCCATTCACTTAGGAAAAACATTACAGATGAAAAACAATCTCTGATATTGTGTTTTTTCCGCGTTCTTCAGTGTTCGATTGATGCCCACTCTCCATCAGTTGATCTTCTTAACTCAATGATCCACTCAAGGTTAATTAGCCCATCTGAGAGATCCTTAAATAGCCTGATCTAATGTCAGGGATTTTCCTCACCTCGTCTTGCGATATGTGGCGAATCCTCTTCTAAACCCATTCCTCTTTCAGGCTAATCCTCAGTGGACAGCTGGAGATGGTAACCGGAGGCTGGGTGATGACGGACGAAGCCAACGCTCACTATTTCGCCATGATCGATCAGCTCATTGAAGGCCATCAGTGGCTGGAGAGGAATCTGGGTATGAGGGGTTTTCAGGCTGCTGTGGTTTTTGCTTTTGTATTACAGTTTATGTCAATTAATTTGGTTCAATTGTTAAATTTCGACATGCAATAAAGTTGGAAAAGTGTGCCAAAGCAATTGAGAAAAGCTGTAAATTGGCTTTTGGTTTGTAATGTTGGTAACACTTTATTTTGATGGTCCATTTGAGCATTAATAAACTGTCTGCTTGATATCTGTTGATACTGCTCCCTCAACAGACATTTAACTGACTATAAGAAACTTTGTATGTCAACTTACACTAACTCTAACCCCAAACTAACAGTCTACTTGTCTAATGAGAATTAGTTGGCAGGGGTGGACTGGGACAAAAATTCAGTCCTGGCACTGTTGCCACACCAGCCCACATTACCACACCGACACAGCCCCACCCACAGACACGTACATTCACTATTTATTTTGGTGTCAAGATGGTGAAATAATATAACATTCTAGCCAGGTTTTGATTATGTCCGGCTAACCTTGGATTGGGTCGGCCCATCTTGAAACCAGGAGGCAGTTGCCGATTGGGCCAAATGCTTAACATTTATTAATATTATTTTTATTATCATCATCATAATATCACATCTAGCAAGATATAAAAGCTGTCTGCACTCAAAAACAATACATAATAAAAAAAAAAACTGACCGGCCCACATTTAAAAATTGCAGATGGCCAGTCTGCCCCTGTTAGTTGGCATGTAGATGCAATGTAACTTAAGTTCAACAAACCATCAAAATAAAGTGTGACCGTAATGTTGAATGGGTGTGTGTTGTGCAGGTGTGACCCCTCGCTCGGGCTGGGCTGTTGATCCATTCGGGCACAGCGCCACCATGCCTTACCTGCTGAAACGGGCCAACATAAGCAGCATGTTGATCCAGAGGGTCCATTACTCCATCAAGAAGCACTTCGCAGCCACACGCAGCCTTGAGTTCATGTGGAGACAGGCCTGGGGTAAAAGAGCACAAAAACACAACAAAACAACATGACATGACATTACGGTGAAATATTTATATTGTTATATAAGCGAGTCATTTCTCAGTTCAGTAAATGTGTAATAAAGCATCTACACGTGTTTCATAAGAAAGCAATTAAAGCAGTGTTATGAATGTGACATTTGCAGTAAAATCCTCAAATTATAATAAATCACAAAGGAAGTAAATGTTAAGATCTTAGTGAAACATTTAGTTATTTAATTATTTAATCAGGAATATCCCATTGAGATGCAATATCTCCTCTACCAGGGAGTCCTGGTCAATACAGGCAGCATAGGACAGTTACAAAAAAATAAAATAAAATACATGCCACAACACATAGACACACACAAAAATAGTATAAACCATAATCAGTGGTTGAAACGTCTTTAAAATATTTTAAAAATAGCAATAGATGGTACAGATTTCATATGTAGGTTATCTTGAAGCTCATTTCACACATATGGAGCACACTTAGAAAATGCAGATTGACATAACTCTGTGTGAAAAAGTGTCAACATTGAACACCCTTTACTGCACGGTGTTACCATATGGCAACATGATACTTATGTTCCCTGCCACTGTTTCTTTAAGACCAACATTAATTTTTTTTGGTGGAAAGAGAAGACCTTAGTGTAGCTAATAATGTGCTTTGGTTAAGTCACATGACATGCTGTGCTTTTCTGTAGCGCGATTTCTGGCAGACTGGCGTTTATTGTGAGTAGTTGCTGAATGTAAATGTAAACGTCTGTAAAAACAAAGGATCAAATGATGTCAGATCCACAAAGAAATCTGAGACATCACCTCCAGTAAGTCATGATGACATATTCACAACTTATTTTTTTTAAATCAAATTAGTTTTTTGTAAATCGATCAAATGTATGTGTTGCCAATTGGCAACACTGTGCAATAGTGGAACGTGCAATATTGCAATGGGTTAGCTAGCTAGCAAAGTCAGCTGTGAACTTTTAAATTGTAACAATAACAACAAAACTAATAATATAATGTTGATTAGTTATGTGTTAATGACATTTGCATTATGGACAAAATCTTTTAATGGCAATACTACTTTTGAATAGATATCAATACAGGGAGCAGTGTATTAGCGAGCACCACTATGTTCTATTGACCTTATTCTCCACCGACGAGTGGGCGCTGCCATTTGAATCTTTTTGGCTCGAGACTTCCGGTCTCATTCACTTCCATTCATTTTTAGACATTAAAAACTGCTCATTACGCTGCTTGATGTTGCAATTTGATATTTTCTTGTTATATTAATCTACTTGGTCTGTATAGTCATGCAAACATTTGTTTGTAGAGCAACTAGTTTGACCGTTTATTATTCCTAGTCATTTCTCCCATAGGCAACTGAATCGGAAGTTCTAAGACAATCGCGAAAACAGGCGCACTTCCGCATTTTAGAATAAGGTCTATAGTAAGTGAAAGAAGAAAAGGAAAGAACTGGCTCTTCCTGCTGGTGAAAGGGAGGATGATTTGGGTTTTAGTGACCATGAGAATGATGCAGACTGGACATTTGATAGAGACAGTTCAGGCAAGTTAGCTCAGACAGGCGTAGTTTAGTATATAGTATAATATATAAACATTGTTAGCTTGTAGCTACATTATTCTGATGCATCAGGACATACTAGGCTTGCTATGTATTTGTTTTAATATTTACTGGAGGAAATATTTATATTCACTGTAAGTTGATTACATGGTAATACAGTATTAGATTTGTTTTTATTAATATTCAGCAAAAAAAGAAAGCAATAAATGAAAGCTGTTGGAATATCAGTTGTTGGAAAGTATGTATAAGGTGTCTTTTATAAGTTCTGTGTTAAAGCTTATAATGCTGCAACACCAATTAAATCGTTTTAAACAGCAAAATGATTAATTATAGGGAAAGCTCTAAATTAGAAGTTTAGAAGTTAGATCCATTGCTGGACATTGTTGCCATATGGCAACATTTCATAAAGTACCTTAAAAAAAGAACATTTTTCCAAATTTTTTTTTTTACAGCACATTAAGTTAAACCATTTTAAAAAAAGAAAAACAGTTGAATATTTTTTTAAATAGTTTTATTATAGTGTGTGCAATAGAGGGTGAGGTAATGAACTGTACCATACCATTTTTGGGTACTCTTTCTAAATGGTACCCAGTACAACAAAATTGTACTAAAAGACGGAGCTAGACGCACAGCTTAACGCTATTGGTTTACAGAGATACGTCACTAGCTAGTGCACAAGCAGGAGAATAAAAAACAACAGAAGCCCAAATTTTAAATACACAGTTTTGCAAAATTTATGGCAAATTTCACAGCATTTCTTTTATTGTTTTGCTATTAAAATGTTTAAGACACTTCTATACAGCTTAAAGTGACTTTTTAAGGCTTAACTGGGTAATTAGGTTAACTAGGCAGGTTAGGATAATTAAGCAAGTTGTTATATAACAATGGTTTGTTCTGTAAACTACTGAAAAAAATATAGCTGAAAGGGGCTAATAATTTTGACCTCAAAATGGGTTTTAAAAAATGTAAAATTGCTTTTATTCTAGCTGAAATAAAACAAATAAAACTTTCTCTAAAAGAAAAAATATTATCAGACCTACTGTAAAATTTCCTTGCTCTATTAAACATCATTTGGGAAATATTTAAAAAAGAAAACTGAAATGAAAAATAATTCTGACTTCACCTGAACATCACCTTTCAACATCACCTGAAAGCTGAATAAATAGCTTTCCATGTTTGATGTGTTTTGCGTGTTTTAAATGTGCATCTCTTAATTCTTTATTAATTAAAGAATTCACGTGAGAATTTAAACAGTGTGTCGACTGTCTAAAATATGCAGCAATTTTTACAAAAACACAAAGTCTACAAAAGTTTGACATTTGCTTGATTTTGCATTGAATTTAATGATCTTGGAGGATCTGCTTAGTAAATCATACATTAAAATGTGAATAAATCTCCTGGATAGATCATAGAGACTTTAAGGATGCGCTCTTTTGATTTGTGACAACAAACGACCTAGAAATGCCCTAGAAATTGTAATGCAATATGTTAAAAAAACACTTGCGAAAAAAATAATAGCATCATGGCAGTGTGTTTTGCATGAGCAAAGCAAAATAAATATGCCACAACTTACCTAATAAGCCCAATAGAGCAGAATAGAGCATTTGCAATCATTAATTACATGTGGGAAGCGCTTTAAACGTCTAATGAAGGTTTGAGAAAACACAAACCCTTGGCATCTGCTTTTGAAGACTGTGCCAAAGTCTCCTGCCAGCCTGAGTTTATTAATGAGATTTTCTTTATTTGCAGATATCGAGTCGAGCACAGACATGTTCTGCCACATGATGCCGTTTTACAGCTATGATGTGCCTCACACGTGCGGCCCCGACCCCAAAATCTGCTGCCAGTTTGATTTCAAGAGGCTGCCGGGCAGTCGAGTCAACTGCCCGTGGAAGGTGCCGCCCAGAGCTATCAATGATGCCAATGTGGCCGAGAGGTGAGGAAATTTTGTATGAATCTTTAATGTGATTCGGGAACAACGAGTTTTCTCAGGGAGCGTTTTGTTTGGTAATTCGTAGGACCACAACTGAAGTCTGAATTTTTTAGACCCCTGTATATTTCTGTGTAAAGGAGAGAAGATTTTTTCACCACATTTCTAAACATAATAGTTTTTATAACTCATTTCTAATGACTGATTTATTTTATTTTTTGCCATGATGACAGTAAATAATATTTGATTATTCAGCTTAAAGTGTAATTTAAAGGCTTAACTAGGTTAATTAGGCAAGTTAGGGTAATTAGGCAAATCATTGTATAACAGTGGTTTGTTCTGTAGACATTTGGAAATCAAATATAGCTTAAGCGGGATAATCATTTTGACCTTAAGATGGTGTCTAAACATTAAAACAACTTTTGTTCTAACCGAAATAGAACAAATAAGTCTTTCTCCAGAAGAAAAAATATTATCAGACATACTGTGAAAAACTCCTTGCTCTGTTAAACATCATTTGGTAAATATTTTTAAAAAATCACTGGAGGTTAATAATATTTTTATGAAGTATTTATATTATTTTCAGTAATATTATTGAATAGTAAGCAAATGTGTATATGATTTATGTACAATGTTTTCTTAAAGTCATATATTCAGTACTTAGTACTTGTATTATATGAAAGACTTGGGGCACGATGCCATTTTGTGCTGCATTTCGGCGTTTTTTAAAAGCTTTGGTGGACACACGCCTTTTACTTTTACCAAACAAGTGGTTCTATTTAAATTTGCATGGTAAATCTAATATTTTAAATTTTTTTTTTTTGTCATGTTAGGTTTCTAGTTACTATACTCTTAAAATCATTTAGCATAAATTCACTTGTTTTTTTTATTTTTATTCTAATACAAATTCTGCTCTGAAACTGCAAAAATGTCCAAAGATTAGTCCTTTTTTGTCACATGACATGGTGGCAGATTTGGATACAGAAATTAGTTAATAATTAAGAATCTTGCTTACAAACAGATGCATAGTTATTATTTTTATTATTATTATTATTATTATTATTATTTTAATACTCTTTCGGGTACATAATGAATTTCTGAAACTAGCTTTATTTCTTATATTTTATAAACATGCAAATGTCTTTCTTTCTCACAACATTGAATGGTAATAAAGAGTCGGTTAATGCTTTAAACTTTATCTGTATGACAACACATATGATTGATTTATTTCTGATTTCTCATGGGCTTGAAGATTGTAAAGGCAAACTAATCTTTTCTGCTTTCTGACATATCAAAATAACAAAATGAACAATAAAAGGACAGATCGCAGTTAACAGACTGGAGATCAAGGTTACAAATTAATAATTATGTGCTGTTGGTTATAACTTGACCATATCTTCATACATGCCTAAATGCTGGAATCAAAATAAAAGATAAAACTGTATACGTTTGAAGTCCGAACCCCCCTGAATTGTTCGCCCCCTCTTTATTTTTTCCCCAATTTCAGTTTTTTTTTAGATTTTTTTCAACACATTTCTAATCATAATAGTTTTAATAACTAATTTCTAATGACTGATTTATTTTATCTTTGCCATGATGACAGTAAATAATATTTGACTAGATATTATTCAAGACACTTCTATACAGCTTAAAGTGGCATTTAAATGTTTAACTAGGTTAATTAGGTTAACTAGGCAGGTTAGGATAATTAGGCAAGTTATTCTATAACGATGGTTTGTTCTGTAGACTGTCAAAAACAAATACAGCTTAAAGGGGCTAATAATATTGACCTTAAAATGGTGTTTAAAAAATTTAAAACTGCTTTTATTCTTGCTGAAATAAAACAAATAAGACTTTCCAGAAAGAAAAAATAATATTAGATATACTATGAAATTTTCCTTGCTCTGTTAAACATCATTTGGGAAATATTAAAAAAATAAATAAATAAATAAAATTTAATTAAATGAAAAGGGGGGCTAATAATTCTGACTTCAACTGTATATGTGATTCTGGACAACAAAACAAGTAATAAAAATCTTTTATTTTGAAATTGAGATTTCAACATCATCTGAAAGCTGAATAAAAAGCTTTCCATGTTTGATGTGTTTGGATAAGACCATTTTTGGCTGAGATGCATGTAATCTGAGGGTTAAAAATATCAAAAGATTGAGAAAGTTGCCTTTACTAATCCAAAATTTAGCTTTAATATATTAAAAGTAGGATTTTTACAAAATATATTAACATAACATGATCTTTACTTAATATTCAAATGATTTTCTTTGATCATTTTGACTCACACAATATATTTTTGTGTGTTTGGGTATTAAAACATAACATTTAATCATATTCTGTTGAAATGACCAAAATGACAACACAAAGATTTGTTCATTTAGCTGAATGAGCCTTAAAGGTCAGAGTCAGTAAAATGATCTGACCTTCTCATCACCAGCGTGGCTGTTGCACTGATTAATACAAAAGCAGGGAATTAATTAGATCGGGGCGAGTTAAGCCAAAGAGTGAATGCAGGTTAATATCCTGTGTTCGCCAACAGAATTCATTTGTCCGTCACCCAGCTGGCGCCAGCTGTATTTATATGGGTTGCGCTTGAACTGGGCTCGAACCCAAATCCAGCGCTGAAGAAAACCCAGGATATTAACAAGCTTGTAGCAATTAGTTTGCACCTGTCATTACACTTCTGAGGTCTTTCAGGTTTACTGGAATAGGCAGAGGGTTTTATGGGTGCACGTTTAGCTTCATGACTCATTTCCTTTGCCGATGTTCAAACATGCTTTCTTACATTTTGGCGTGACTGGTTAAAACTGAGCTACTGAAAGGAAAACTGGGGCGTTTTATTGAGGACATTCATTACTACGGTTGTCATGTGATCCCTCAGGAGTCATTCTAATGCGCTGATCTGCTGTTCAAGAAATCATTTAACACTATGAAGGTTTAAAACATTTATAACCTTTATAAACATTTTTTCATGCTGCAATGGTTCGGTCCAACTTTATATTAAGTGGCCTTAACTAATATGTACTTACATAGGAATTAATAGTTTGTTACAATGTACTTATTGTGTAAATACATGTATTTATTGTGTACTTATGCTTGATTAAATACATGTATGTAATTACATCTGTAATGAACTTTTGTAGTTACATTTGTAAATACACTGTTGACCATCCCTTACACCTTAACCCATTCTTAAACCTACCCATGCCACCAAACCTGCCCAAAACCCAACCTCTATCCCAACTCAAAAGTAACACAAGTGTTCTCAAATACATTATAAACACAGTAAGTACATTGTATTTATTTTTTTGATTTAAGTACATAGTAGTTAGGTACACTTAATATAAAGTGGGACCAATGGTTCCTCTGTATGCAAAGTATATTTATTGCCACTTTTTGACAACAATTTAATTTATATTTATCATTTATTCTTTTACTATTTATTATCATTTATTATTAATATTTTACTATTATTATTATTATTATTATTATTATATCTCTTATATTTGTAAGAAATGAGTCTGCCACCCTAAATGGTGAATTGATGCTTATTTCCCAAAAGGGCTGACTTATTAGAGAAAAGAGAAGTCAACAGGGTCTTGTCTCTGCATTGCTTGAGGTGACTACAACTGCATTAACATGATAAGATAGAGAGAACAGCTTGGTCAACAGCCAAGGAGCAACTTCATTAACATCTAAAGGCAACATCCAAAACAGTATAAAGGTTTGAGTTTAAGAATGTTCAGGGTTCATACTGACTCCGGTGAACCCAAGGTACTGCCATGTATTTTGAGACTGCTATGCTGAATAAATATCTTCATTGAGATTTTCTTCGTCATCATCATTTTTTCTTACATATTCTTATATATTTCTTTTACATTATAATTAGTGCTAGTGCATTAGTGCAAATACACATCATAGCACAAAATAAAAGTTGGTCAGCTTTAGAGCTGTGACGAGAGCTGAGAGCCAGATGGAGCGGATGTTTGCAAGTGTGGAGTCCCGTGAAGGAGCTTCAGATGGAAACTTTTGTTTTGTGTTTACCTGTCCGCCGGTTCCCTCCTCTGAATGAGCGAGTTTGAGGTACTCGTACATAAAGGTAGCATTCAGAAAAACTAAACAACCGTGAAGAAACTCGACGCAGAGGAACATAAAAACCTACTGCCACTCGACCCAGAAGTATAAACCAGCCTTAAGGAGTTACTGCATTCTGGCTGAATACAAATATTAACTCACCTTCTGAATGTTCTCAGTTGATTCACAGCCTTAATAAAACCCAAGATTTACTTTATATTTGGCATTTTTCTCTTTCAGAGCTGGCGTTCTGCTCGATCAATATCGTAAAAAATCGAAGCTGTTCCGGAGCAAAGTGTTGCTGGTTCCTCTGGGGGACGACTTTCGCTATGATAAAGCTTTAGAGTGGGACCAGCAGTACTTGAACTACCAGAAACTGTTCGATTACATGAACTCCCATCCAGAAATGCACGTGAAGGTACGTTTACAGCTTAACAGTACAAAACTACAACCAATCTCTTTGTGTTTGTTAGAAAAATAATGCAATTAGGTGTAGATTGATCGATTTTTAAAGGCACAGTATGTAATTTTCCCCACCAGAGGGCGTGTATTCACAACAAACAAAGGCGTATTTTGATGATGCACTGACTGAGTGAGGAATAATGGGAGTTGTAGGCTTCATTACATCCTATGTGACTCCTAATATAACTATAACTATAATAATAAATACATTTTAGGCTTCTGTAATGCCACTCTATGCAGGCTAATAAACACAACATATTAAAGCGACTTTAGGAATTTTACTGTTTTAATAAAACATACTGCTAATAATATGACATTATTAGCATGAAAACATTCAAATAGGTGCTAAACAACATTCTTCTAAACATTTTGGACAATGTAAATACACGAGTAAGCAAAAAAATATTATGCTGTTTTAGTCTTTATGTCAGCGTTTCCCAACCCTGTTCCTGGAGGCACACCAACACTACATAGTTTATATGTCTACCTTATCTGACCCATTGACTTCAGGTATTTGGAGTCTCTCCTAATGTTCTGAATCTGATGAGTTGATTCAGGTGTGTTTAATTAGGAAGAGGTTGAAAATGTGTAGTTTAGGCGTGCCTTCGACATTTTAATTAAACAAATCATACATGCCTTTTAAAAGTACTAGTGTAGCTAATAGTGATCTCCACCATAGCACTTGTTTGTGAGTAAAGAAAAATTTTTTTTTTAACAAGTGCAGAATCATGTGAAGATTTCCTCCAAGTAACTCTCTATGCTTTCAGGCTCAGTTTGCGACGCTGTCAGACTACTTTGATGCGGTGTACAAGGCTAATGGAGTGACTTCGGGGGCGAGACCACCCGATTACCCTGTGCTGAGCGGAGACTTCTTCGCTTATGCAGACAGAGAGGACCATTACTGGAGTGGATACTACACCTCGCGACCCTTCTACAAAAACCTGGACCGCATTTTAGAATCTCACCTAAGGTTAGTCAGTCAATACATTATACATTAGATGCATCAGGATCCAATAAACGTACATCTTTCTATCTTATTTGTGCCCTAAATGGTACATATTAGTACTATTAGCCTGTTGCGATATTTATTTTTTGCACGATATATTGCACTAAAATATACACTCAGCGGCTACTTTATTAGGTACACCTGTCTAACTACTCGTTAACGCAAATTTCTAATCAGCCAATCATATGACAGCAACTCAATGCATGTAGGCATGTAGACATGGTCAAGATTATCTGCTGCAGTTCAAACAGAGTATGAGGATGGGGAAGAAAGGTGATTTAAGTGACTTTGAACGTGGCATGTTGGTGCCAGACAGCCTTGTCTGAGTATTTCAGAAACTGCTGATCTATCGGGATTTTCATGAACAACCATCTCAGAGAATGGTCCGATAAAGAGAAGATATCCAGTGAGTGGCAGTTCTGTGGGTGCAAATGCCTTGTAGATGCCAGAGGTCAGAGGAGAATGGCCAGACTGGTTCCAGCTGATAGAAAGGCAAGAGTAACTCTTGTTACAACCAAGGTATGCAGAAGAGCATCTCTGAACGCACAACACGTCCAACCTTGAGGCGGATGGGCTACAGCAGCAGAAGACCAGAAGTAACTGAGGCTACAATTTGCACGTTCACCAAAATTGGACAATTGAAGATTCGAAAAACGTTGCCTGGTCTGACGAGATCGATTTATGCTGCGACATTCGGATGGTAGGGTCAGAATTTGGCATCAACAACATGAAAGCATGAATCCATCTTGCCTTATATCATTGGTTCATGCTGGTAGTGGTGGTGGGAGTGGTGGTGGTGTAATGGTGTGGGGGATATTTTCTTACCACACTTTGGGCCCATTAGTACCAATTCAGCATCATTTCAGACTGGTTTCTTGAATATGACAATGAGTTCACTGTACTCAAATGGCCGCCACCGTCACCAGATCCAAATCCAATAGAGCACCTTTAGGATGTGGTTGAATGGGAGATATCATGGATGTGCAGCCGACAAATGTGCAGCAACTGCGTGATGCTGTCATGTCAATATGAAGCAAAGTCTCTGAAGAATATTTCCAGTACCTTGTTGATTCTACACCATGAAGGATTGAGGCAGTTCTGAAGGCAAAAAGGTCCAACCCAGTACCAGTTGGGTGTACCTATTAAAGTGGCCGGTGAGTGTATTGCGATAAACAATATTATTGTAACTTTATGCCACTCATTATATAATGCCAGAATGACAATATAATATCATCACAATGCAAGTACACTCTTCCAAAGAACACATAAGATTTTATCCTTAAGAATATTTACCTGAATTATAGTCATTTTAACTATTTAATAATAAGGCATTGGAATGTGAAAACGCAAATCCTAAATGAATAATAGTAAATTATAACAAAATGTGCTCCAAAACAGTGACAAAATTCACGTTTAGAAGATATAAAGCTGAGATAAACATGTAAAGCTTGTAGTCACTTCCGCCTAAATGGATCAACGGCTTTATTGACGTCACCTCATGCTTCAGTTTCTCAATCAAATGCTTTCATTTGATGCCCTTGAGCTCAATCCCCCTCTCTTTGTGTTAGGTTGAGATTATGTCAAACATCGGATAAAAATGCACATTTGCTCTGCATAAGACGTTTGGATATAGGAGAAATGGTCGTGTCCAACTGAGCCTGGTTTCTCCCAAGGTTTTTTATCCTTCACTTTCGCCAATTGGTGAAGTTTTTTCCCTGCCACTGTCGGCACTGGCTTGCATGGTTCATGACTTGTAGAGCTGCACATCGATGAATTTGCGCTTCAGTGTTTGGACTCTCACCAGTGAAAATTAAACCACACTGAACTGAAATGAACTTAAAAACTGAACCGACACTGTTTCAATTCACTATAATCTTCTATGTGAAGCTGCTTTGACACAATCTACATTGTAAAAGCGCTATTGAAATAAAGATGAATTGAATTGAACATTTCAAAGCTCTTCACAGGAGCTTTAAAGTAATATTTAACTCAGTTGTTTAAAAATGATTCTAGAATTTTGTCATCAACTATTTAATGGATTTGAGCTCTAACATGAAAGTGAATCTGTTTAAAACGGTGTTATCCAGAACTGCATTAAAATGTCATTTCAGCGCATTAAATATTGACGCTTTTTACAGAAATCAAACTACAAATGGTTCATTTATGACCGCTTCTGTAAATTAGGCTTGAATTGAAGAGCATTTTTACATCGAGCTGCTATTTGACACTTCGTTAACAACTCATCAAGTAGCTTTTAGTCAGAAAATGTCGCTAACAAGGTTTTGCGGAAGCCTTTTAATTTTTAATTGGCAGCACTTTTCAAACTGCAATCAAGGTATCTGAATTGAATCCATTATTTTAGCATGTTTGGAAACGGTCTCGTTTTATTTGCCAGAGATTCAATTATGCTTTGAGTAAAAGCCTGTTCTCTGCGGTATTACTGAGGGACAATTAAAATAGTTATTCTCTGAGTTTTTCTACTGAATTAAGCACGAGGCATCGCCTAATTACTGTCATTACTTAGTCTTTAATTCTATTATGGTTGGCTTCTCAGCTTGTTAAGTTGTTGTGGTTTGGTTCGGTGTCATGCTAACTGGATGCCTTTTTGTGTGTGTTTCTCTGCAGAGGGGCAGAAATCCTCTATAGTTTGGCGGTGGCTCATGCACGACATGCAGGAGTTGAAGGACGATATCCGGTTTCAGATTACTCTCTCCTGACTGATGCCAGGCGAAACATTGGGCTGTTCCAGCATCATGATGCCATCACGGGCACTGCCAAAGAGGCTGTCGTCATCGACTACGGGAACAGGTCTCTGAGTAGATATCTGCAAATGATATGTGCATTATAAAAGGGATAACTAGCAGCTTGCTCTCTGCAACTCTCACATGGTCACCCATTGAAGCTAAGCAGGGCTGCACCCGTTCAGTACCTGGATGGGAGCAAACCCAGCCCTAACCAATTTGGCACCCTAGGCAAGATTTCAGGTGGCGCCCTGTCACATCGCAGTAAATTCCAATGCTAGTGTATAGTCATAAGAAACTAAATTGACTACTACAAACTGGAAAACGTCAGATAAATATGCCAATGCAATTGTAGGGTCCACCCAGTTGGTCCAATGACGGTATCCACTGGTGGATGAAGTATGAGAATTTTAGTATGAGATGGTTTAGAATATTAATATATTTATCCTCGTTTTATCTCACTCCAATTATAAAACATTGATAAGATTATTTTGTTTCCTTTCACATTATTTTAGATTATGATTGAATATTCTTTTGATCTGTTATTATACCTTATTCTCATTTACTCAGATTCCTATAGCATCCCGAGTCTTGCGCCGGCCGGGTATACAATCTCTTAATACAAGCTTGTCAGTCTTGGTCATTAAACAGAGGCGATTAACCACTCTCCTAAAAAGGCAGAACCCTACATTACTCAATTTAGGAGATTTTTATGTGGTCCCCATAGATCTGTTATCTACTTAATCAAGACAAAGTATTTTAATAATAATCGCACAGGATTATAAGTTTGTAGATGAAGGCCTAAATATCCACATTTAAAGTAGTTTCAACAATATTTTGTTGTTCTAAATAGTTGGCCTTTTACAGTCCAAGTATACTTGAATTAATGCCAATTTGTTAGTCGGATCTCTAACAAGATTGTATAGCATGCCACGCTGCTCCGTCTAACATGTTTTAGTCCGTTACTAACCTGTACAGTGGCTTGTAGTGCTATGGACAACAACATTTATCAGTGATAATAACACGAGGTTTGAATAATTCAAAACATAATTTATTAGTCAGGTAAATGTATTATGCCAAATTCAATCAGTCAATTCATAAACGATCAATACAACACATCAAATTATCACAGACAAATCCAAGATGAAAAGATGCATATCCTGACTTTGAAATATACATAACATGGAGCAGGCTCCATGTAATGGGCTGATCTGGTTAGGCAGAATCGCCCTGAGCCTTTCTCAAACCTTACCTTAAATAATCCAAGAATTCCCTCAAGGAAGGGGGTGTGTGTATAACAAAAGGCATTCACACTTAGTGGAAAAGTCACACCCTTCACAGTGGTTCAAAAGATGCCTGAAGTTTTATATTTATTGTTTTGATTATGTCTGTTTCTGAGAGAATGAGACCATTGTACCAATCGCACTGAGACATTTCAAATGATATCAAACATGCTAGTTAAAGTCAGTTTGGTTAATCTAGAACATTCAAACATTGAAATGACCATATGTGTGAGTTGGGGTGGTTGAAGCTGAGCTTCAGCAGACTCAGATGCAAATGCAGCAGGAACTGGTTTTTCCCGCATTCCTACCTGCTGGGTTGTGGAGTCACCAGTCTCTGTTTTCAGCTCATGTTTTGAATTGTCAAAGATATCAAAATATTTGCAATATTTCAACTCTTACAAAATTAACGTTATTGCTGAATATATCTAATATTTACACATTTGCTTGAGGAAGGAATGATGTTGGTAGTTACATTACTATTTAGGGGTGTAACGATTTATCGTTGTACGATTTATTACGATGCAAAAATGTCACAATATGCATCGTGGCGTTATGATGATTTGATTACGATATGACGTCCGTTTTCTCTTATTAGTTGAGCTGTTTGCACGTGAGCTACGTTCCACCTGCTGTCGCACGTGAGTTCAGATTGCAGCAGCAGTAATGTTAGCAGACCAAGATGAGTGGAGGTGAAATAGAGGATGGCCCATCCTCTCAAAATCAGACTTGGTTGTACAGTCATTGCTTTAGACTCGTCCGCTTTTTGACACGCATACTGGGTCAAACATAGCCTAAGTTTTAAAGTCTTCACAGTGGTTTACATACTTTGCACAGCGACATGGATACCTCCTAATGGTGTTGAAAGAGTCACATACTGTATTTAAAAGGTACAATTCACCCTAAAATATCATTCTGTCTTCATATAATGATGTATTGGCGGCCGCAAAATCACACATGACGTGAGCTGACCGTGAGCTGTTACTACAGAGGGCGGACTATGATAGATGCGCGCGTGCGTCTGCTTCAGTGAACAGAACCTGCAGGTTGTGACTAACATTTAGCATTCAACACTGTGACTAACATTCAACATTCAGTTTGTGGAACAGAGCGATCGTTCAGGAGCCGCGTCAGAAGTATCAACAGCAGTGGAAATAAAAACCGAAAGCGTGCACATTATTTAAATAATCATATCGCATTTTAGAGTTACGATTACGACGAGCATGAACTCTCATGAGTACAGAGGTACACTAAAATGCACGTCAACATGATACCCTTGATAGCGCCGACATCAGCGACGCCGAAGAAATAGTAAACCTGCCTAAACAGCTGAAAAGAGCCACGACTGTCCTGTGTAATGAAAAGACGGCCACCCTGTCACTCATCATGCCCAACATGAAGACAGCCATCCATAAAAACCTCTCAGACAGATACACATCAGTTCAGGATTATTTTATAGAACTGCTGATTACCTGGAAATGTAGATTTTTTTTTTTTTTTGCACACACAAAAAACGCAAGTGACCAAGCAAAGCCTTAAGCTCTTACTGTCAAATTCAATTGAATTGAATCATTTCAATAATATTTTATAAGAAGTTTTTAAATTGTTTCATTTTCCAGAGACGGTCCTGTTTAATTTATTTTCTTTAAGAAGGTTCAGTTTAACAAGTTGAAACAAAATAAATACATAAAAAATAGTTTACTTGGTAATTAATTATTTTTAAAATAAAATTTGCATTTCAGTTTAATTTTCAATTTTTATTCCAAATATCGTGATACATATCGAATCGTGAACATTATATCGTGATACACATTGTATCGTGAGGTGAGTAGATCGTTACACCCCTATTACTATTACTATTTTCCATAACATCTATGCCCTTCCATAACATTAGGTGACATTAAAACTAACAGATTAGCAATCTGTCAACGTTGGGATGTAGAAAATTTGGGACAACAAATAGCTTCAAATGATAGAATACATAGCAAACATTAGAAAATATTGACAATAAAATAAAAAGTTTACCCTATTAAAATCAATGGCCTATTCAAAAATAAATAAAGTTTTAAAATCTATTTCACTTTTAATTGTATTTGCATATTGATTAAAGTTATATAGTTATTTAGTGAAGAGCAGCAAATGAATCTCTCGTTGTGTTTTGTTTGATAACAGAGGTGTTAATGTATAATGCACAGATCTTTAATGAAGCATTCGACTACTTTAGTAACTGTTTGTGCTCATTTAAGAGAAAATTAGTTGTGTTTAAAATAAAACATGCAAAAAAAAAAAAAACTTAAAAAAAAGAAGCACTTTTCCGACGGTCGCTCACTGTGAGCTCCTCTCTGCGCGAGCTCTCCCGGCCTAACGCAGACTGCGAGGGCTCAAACAGAGCAGTGGCCAAAATGTCAAGCGAAAAAAAAAAAAGTCAGCTGTTAAACATAACCAGCTTTGTCTTTTTGTAGGAAACACACTTTAGATCTTTTTAGGGAAAGAGGTTTTTGAGTCATTGCCATCTAGCACTGAATGTGTCAGGATCGAAAACAAAACCAACTTAACCGCGCTCATTTCTGCCGCCCCCCTGAATGTACAGCACCCTTAGCATTTGGCTATACTACCTATGCCACGGGCCGGGAGACCACATGGGAAAGCTAGGTTACTGTCGGAAGTGGTGTTATTGAGACCAGCAGGGGGCGCCCAACCTCCGCACTGTGTGGGTCCTAACACCCAGAAATAGTGAAGGGGACTCTATACTGCTCAATGAGTGTCGTCTTTCAGATCCTGGTGTTGTTCCAATGCTAAATGGGCATTTATGTCAAACTTCAAAAGAAGAAATGTAAAAAAGTATGCATGGTGGCTAGTTCCTATTGTGAAACTTCCTTATAATAGCTGAATTTTCAATTTGGGTTGACCTAGCCCTTGGATTAACTAAGTGGAGGATGTTCAGCTAATGAAGGCAGTCTCTCAGGCCGTTATGTATGAAATATCATTTCCAGTAAGTGAGCGTTTTCCGAGTTTGGATTGATGACTTCTTGATTAATCTCCTCGTCTACCCACAGGCTGTTACGTTCTCTGGTGGGTCTGAAACGAGTGATCATTAATGCAGCGCACTTCCTGATAATAAAGAATAAAGACATTTATCGCTTCTACCAGACAGAGCCCTTCTTGGAGACGGTGAGGAGCAGCAGGTTTTTTCCTCTAAAGTCAGCCAGTGTGTTTAATGCTCTGACCTGTAACTTCTGTCTCGATGACTGTAGGATGATAGACGCGCCACACAGGACTCTCTCCCGCAGCGTACGCTTATCGAGCTGGAATCTTCACCAAGGTGAGATGCCATCTTTCATGGATGTTGAATGGAGTCATTTTTAGTGTGGAGAATGTAGAGCTGCACAATTCATTCGCTCATTTTCTTTTCGGCTTAGTGTTTTTATTAATCCGGGGTGGCCACAGCGGAATGAACCACCAACTTATCAAGCATATGTTTTATGCAGAGGAGTCCCTTCCAGCAGCAATCCATCACTGGAAAACACCCATACACTTTCATTCACACACATACACTACGGACAATTTAGCTTACCCGATTCACCTATAGCGCATGTCTTTGGGGGAAACCAGAGCACACGGAGGAAACCCACGCGGAGAACATGCAAACTCCACACAGAAATGCCAACTGACCCAGCCGAGGCTTGAACCAGTGACCTTCTTGCTGTAAGGCGATCGTGCTACTCACTGCGCCACCATGATGCCGTTCTCCTAATTGTCCACTGCTTAAAGATTTATTAAATATGACGCGACCCCCTACTGAGCTTGTTGAGGCCTCCTTGTGGGCCGGGACCCCCCTGTTGGGAGCTGCTGCACTAGATCGTGTCATTCACCAGTTAGAAAACTTTACAGTACTTTACTTTTTAATACTACAATTTTCAGTAGAAAGTTATTATATCAGCACGTTTTTTAGTTGTGTAGCAAGCAAAACTTGTCATGGAGTGCATGAATGCAAGAATCACTGGTCTCACTCTCTCACGCTGTGTGCTAAAGCGACTATACAATGCTTACACCTAATACTAAGTCATAATAACTTGCTTTTTCAGAGCTCATAGGGAGTGCGTCACAGGTTGTCATTGTTCAAAAATGACCCAATGTGAATATAAAAGCAACTTCACCTCAGTAAAGCAGGCTAGGCAGACTATATTTACTAATGCTTTGTTGTTAAACTAAAGAAAAATCAACATTATCGATGCTGTAAACTGAAAATAGTCACATCAATCTTTTTCCGGAAGATTTCAGTGGCTGAACAACACTTCTGTGCATTTAAGCCGTTCATAGCAACACAATCTACATCAGCTCTGCGTGACTGAAACAGTTTTAAAACAGAACATTACCCGTCTAAAAGAAATCCTGCAGCCATGGTGTCGTCCTTCCTTCAGCGTGCTAAACTAACTCCAATATTGATTTAGGATTTAAAAAAGTTTCAATTCAGCATTTGTTTTTATTGCTGTCTCTCTCTCTCTCGCATGCACATAAATGCGGCAGGCGGTGAACAGTGGTGCGCAGATGTACAAATCTACATTTGCTGACTAACAGTTTGGGCTACTTATCAGAACTATGGGAATTACCAGCCTGACAAATTTAAATCGGATGAACATTTTTCAGTTTTATGACTTATCCAGAATATAAAAATGCATGTAAATATATTTAGATCATTTACTTTAATCGGTACTGTTGGAATGTGAAGAGACTTTCAACTGGCACAAAAAAATGTTTCTGAAGACACGTTTACCAACTTTATAGCTTATTTTCTCAGTATCGTTCAGCCGTAGCAGCAAAGCTTTTTATGGTTTATCTTTTTTTGTTACTTTTTTATTTTAATGCTATATTTTTCAAATTTTCAATTTCATTTTTAGGTTGTTTCATGAAAGCTTTTGTAAGTTTTGGTTTAGTTTATATTTTATATTTTGTTATTTTCTATTTTTTTTTTCAATAATATTTGTTTAAATATTATGTTTTTTATATATATATATATATATATATATATATATATATATATATATATATATATATTAAAGTTTAGGCTGTACTCACACTAGATACAGTTGCCTCGAACCGGGCCAAAGCACGTCCCCCCTCCAGTCTCCCGCGACGGCCCGCACTCACACCACAAATGGGCCTCGGCACGCTTACGTCATCGCTGCTGCTCTGTTCAGTGAGAAGCGCTCTCACTCAGCAGCACAGTGGAGATTTCTCTAGTTATATCGTGTCAGTTGTTTGTTATGCAGTGACATACAGTCAAATATTTCGCCAAACAGTCCTTAGGGATGCGGTGACACGCAGTCAGATATTTCACCGAACATATCCGCCACTTTTGGCGCCCATAAACAATTATAAAGCTCTCGTGCTGCAGGAATGAGGAGGTCTGCTGAAGCCGTGCAGCTGGCGTGCTGTAAGGAGTTCTCGTCTTTAATAAATTACGGCAGTTTGCGTTCACTGAACAGTACGAATGATTAATAAAACCTTTGAGTGATAAAAATCAAATAATTTAACACTGGATCCAAAGCCACAAATGCAACTTAAATGCATAATTATGAAGAATTCAGACAAACACCTTCATATAAAAGATAAGTTTATAATATCATGCGCAGTTAAACATGACTAGTTTACATATTTTAGCACCTTTTTTGTACCTGTGTGCTTGACTGATGCGTTTGACTATAAAAGTGCCATCACGGGTATTGTTTCTGTCAAAGTGCTTTATTAGATCTCAAAATGATCAGTTGTTTTTACTAATTATTATTTTTTTAGGCTCGTTTTTCAGTAACTGTTATTAGTTTCATTTAGTATTACTTTGTCATTTATTGTGAGTCTTATTTTTATTTCAGTAAACGGAAAAGTTTTTTTGGCCAAGAGTTTTAGTCTTTGATTTCGCTTCGATTTACTAAAATAACCTTGGTGTGCAGATGTGATTTCCCCGATATTCCTCTTCCTCAGGTATCTGGTGCTGTTTAACCCGGTGGAGCAGGAGCGTCTGTGTTTGGTCACTGTCCTGGTGAATTCGGCAAGAGTGAGGGTGCTTACAGAAGACGGACAAACGCTACCGGTGCAGCTCAGCGCGCAGTGGATGTCCGCTACGGAGATGAGTGGGGAGGTTTATCAGGTGTGTGTAGAGTCAGTTTGAAAACATAGTCTGCTTTAAGCCTGGTTTATACTTCTGCGTCAAGTGACCAGCGTAACCATCGGCGCATGCAACACGCGTAACTGTGCATTTATGCTTCTGCGTGCTGTCTCTGTTGGTCTGCATTACACTTCCAAAACGCTAGTGGGCAGTGAGGTGTAAATGTTTCTCTGAGTCGAGTTTCTTCGCTGCTGTTTTGCTTTTCCTGAACACTTCCTGAATGTACAAGTGGCTTAAACTTGCTCATTTTGGGGCAGAAACCGGCGGACGTGCAACAACTTTAACTATGAGGTAAACACAAAACAAAACTTTCCATCCGGAGCTCCTTAACGGGACTCCACACTTGTAAACAATCGCTACATTGGGTTCGCGCCATTCGCACGGCTCTCGGTCCCGCCCAGACTCGTCAGCGCTACCAAGCCCGACCAATTACAGAGCTTGCGCTACACGTCGTTGCGACAAGTAGTTACATTTTTTGAGAGGTGCACGTCAGCGACGCCGACGGCCACGGCGAAGGGCTATGCGTCAACGCCATAGCATACGGGTGCACTTGACGCAGAAGTATAAATCAGCCTTTAGTCAGTCTGATTGCAGGTGGATGATGCTAAATAGGGATCCAAAATAGTTTTACTATGTCCACTTTCTGTCAAAAATACATTAGACTATATTGGGGGAGGTGGGTTAGTGCGGTTGGCTTGGGGGTCGGCAGGATACAATTTCAGATATATAGCGTAGATTTGCATTCACGATATGTTGAGGTTGTCTCGAAGCAAAACACAGTAAGTAAATTAAGTATTGAACATGTCATGATTTTAAATGGTGAATTTAGTAGCTGTAGACATGGAATTTTTTCTGTAAAAACCTGAACAATCAAAACACACTAATAAAACAAAACAAAAATGCCAAGATTTGTGTTATTTGCAATAACAGTGGAAAGGATGGAAAAAGAATTTTCAAATCTTCATGGTTGTCTACAAACGCTGATCTTTAGTTCTTATTTTCTATTGGATTCGGATCTGGTGATTGGCTGGGCCATTCTAGCAGCTTTTTTTTCTTTTCTGAAACCAGAGTTTTCCTTTACTGGGTTTGAAGTTATTATCTGTTTCCATCCAAAAATGTAAATTAACTTTATGCGCAAAACTGAATTATCGCATATAAGACGTGCGAATACAGCAGCGTTTCCATCCAACGAGTCAAAGCGAACAAAATCGTGACTTCATGATTAACTGGCGACTAATGTTAACAGTACAAAAGGAATTTGCAGCAGCAGGAGACTCTGCCTGAATCTTTTCTTCATTTAATAAATGACTTGCGCCTCAGAAGACGTGCGGTGGCGTTTGAAGGCGCGAGATGCGGAGCACAGATTCTCTTGATTCTGAAGGTAATTAATAATATAATAAAACTAATACTAAAATGGTTAAGGGGTTTTAAAATGACCAAAACAACATTTCAGATGTTTTCAATGTGGTCAGCCTGCTAGTTAGTCCATTCGCACACATTTTCATCATCACATGATCTCATAACAAAATCACATGACCTTTGTGCATACTAGAATTTGTTTGGGAAAAGTGTTTCAATCATAGTTTATATGCATCTTTTATTATCAAATAAAAAAGTTTTACAAAACACTACCCAGTTATGCACATGTTTTTTATGCTCATTTTCAAAATGTATGCGCATTTTAGCGATTTCATCAACCGTTTTTTTTACGTGCATATCCAAAATGCGTATAAAAATAGGTGGATGGAAACGTAGCTATTGTCTTGCTGAATTGTCCACCCTGGTTTTCATATTCATCATCTGTTAATGATAATGTTGGACTGAAGCAGCTAATGAGAAAATTGACAGCTGCTGTCTGGTCTTTCCATGACTTTTTACGCTTTCCTTTCTTCACGTGTTCAATACTTTTCCTTGTGCCATTTCATTTTATTGCACACAACTTGCTTTTGAAACGATGGATTACTTTGGCTGTTACTGAGATCTGGTGAACATTTCGAGTCAACAGCACATTGAGAATTCATTGATTATTTCACCCGCAGTATATAAATTTAGAATTATTTACATTTCAAAAAGACGATGGCTCAGAAAAAAAGATCAAATCTGTGCTCAAAGTTGTGCTGGTTCAAACTACTTTTTAAAAATAGAGTTAAAACAACACAATTCTTAAGTTTTTTTGGGGGGGCAACTTAATTTTTTAAAGTTCAATCCACCTAAATTTGTAAAAAAAAAAAAACAAAAAAAAAAAACACGATTATGTCAACTTAATCGGTTTGTGTTGGGACGACATGGAGGAATTGTGTGGAACGCTGCATTTTTAAAAAATGTACATTCAAAATTAAATCAAGAAAGGATATCAATGCATTTTGATAGTCTCAGAGTCGATACAGAATTGATTTCTCAAATGATTTTTTTGTTTTAGCCACAGCTCTACTGTACACGATCGATGCATTTTAAACGATCATCAACAATTATTTGATCAATAATTAAATATTGTTAATCCTAGTCTTGAACAAATGTTAAACACAACAAGTGATAAAAGACCATTTTGAATGCATGTTAGTACCAGCTCTTCTCTTTGTCCAGGCTTCTTTCATGGCACGTCTGCCGGCTCTGGGATTGGCCGTCTTCCACCTGTACGACTCTGCTGATTCGCCCATGACTCTGCGCTCCGAGACGCTGCTCAGGGTTCCAGGACGGGGTCAGAGCATTCGGGGTTTGGATCCTCTGCCTGTGCGCTCACAAACTGTTGATGGACAGCCGTTCTACATCCAAAGCCAATCCCTCACTCTGGGCTTCTCTGGAGCCACAGGGCTGCTGGAGGTGAGAGCATTTCAGTGTGTCACTGCTGAAATTAAACACACAGGAAGTGAAGTGAGAAATTAACAAGGGTTCAGGGTGAAATTATACAAAAACGTGATCTTGTTTGCATAATTCCTGAAGTGATTTGATTGCTAAAGCAACTTGGACTGCATATGCAAACGATTCAGTCAAGCAGAATTCCTTTGGTGGAATAAGAACGTGGAATAATTGATTGACTATATTGAATATGTTTCATTTACAGATGTTAGTCATAAGTCGTCACTAGTTTATATAGAATAAAAAATTATTTTACTCGAATAATAAATGATAAAAACAATAAACAATTGTTGATTAACTCTAATCTTTAGTACTTATTTTATATTGGATTCAAGTCAGGTGGTTGGCTGGGCCATTCTAGCAGCTTTATTTTCTTTTCTGACACCAGAGTTTTTCCTTAAGTCTCTTTGGGGTCATTGTCATGCTTAAATGGCCCCTTTCATCTTCATCATCTAGTAATGTGAATGTTAAACTGAAGCGCCTAATATTCATTATTAAAAAAAATCTATATTGTACACTATATAAAATATATAACTGCTTATTTAATTTACCTTTGCAGTCATCCAGTCTTTCAATTACTGATAACAATTAAAATTGTTTTATTACTAAATAAAAATCTGATAAACCTTTTTTAGCAAATTTTTTTATTTTATTTTTTTATTTTATTTATTTTTAAATTTATTTTTATTTTCATGATTAATTAAAATGATTATTTGTATACATGTTTTATTTGTCATTTATTTTTTGCAAAATAGTTTTTTTTTTTTTTACATTTAGCCAAACTTTTATATCAAATTTTATCAACTATTTTTAGCAATATTTAACTAATCATACTATGAATAGTCATTTGTATACAGTGTATTTTGAAGTTTTGGTGCCTAAATTCATTATATTAGTCCTTAAGCAGTTTATTTTTAAGTTATTTAGACCAGTGTTTCTCAACCACGTTCCTGTAGGGCCACCAACACTGCTTGTTTTGATTTCTCCTTTGTCTGTCAAACCCATTACAGGTCTTTCCGTTTCTGCTAATGAGCGGATGATCTGAATCAGGTGTGTTTGGTTAAGGAGACGTGGAAAAAGTGCAGAGCTGGTGGTGCTCCAGCAACATGGTTGAGAAACACTGATTCAGACCAAATCATATTGCATTTTGATGTCAGCTGTAATACAAATCATTATCCTTTTCAGCCTTGCAGGATTTGCAAGTAGTAAAGTCAGGGAATAAATACTCCAAACATCAGCTCGACTCATCTAATATTGCATGCTTATAATAAAAAGGAAGTTTCCAAGTTATGACACCAGCAGTCTATTTTTATATCCAGTCATCTGGCTGAGTATTTTTTTATTGGTTGCCAGATGAAATGAAACTCATGTTTTTTTGTAGCACATATGCGTTTATGTCCTCTTTTGCATTCTGAGTCAGCAGATGAGTCTGCAATGATTAATTCTCCCGCTTTTCTCCATCAGAGCATTCGACGGAAAGACGATCCCCAGGAGGTGAGGGTACAGATTCAGTTCCTCACCTACGGTACGCGACCCTCCAAGGACAAGAGCGGGGCCTATCTGTTCCTGCCGGATGGAAATGCTAAGGTAGCGTCCGCTTGTCTTGCCTGGCAATTCATCAAACAACCTGAGGCGGATTAAAGCCTGACTTGCATTGTGAGATTTCAGATGTTATTTAGGTATTTGAGACTAATTTAAAAAAATATTTTAAATGATTCATAGAATTGTAGGCTGAAAAAAATCTGTATTTGATCGCAGGTTTGACGTGTTCATCCACAGCCACTTAATGATTACTGAGATCAAATTCTTACTCCAAAAAAATTCTGGCTGTGTCTGAAGATTTAACTAAGATCTAACTACAACCACCGTCAAACCAAGAACCCATAAAAACATCAAAAATTAAGATGCAAAGAGCCTGACAGCTCAAACCAAATTAGGGAAAATTAGAAAAAAATTGATAATTCATTCATTCATTCATTCATTTTCTTGTCGGCTTAGTCCCTTTATTAATCCGGGGTCGCCACAGCGGAATGAACCACCAACTTATCCAGCTAGTTTTTTACGCAGCGGATGCCCTTCCAGCTGCAACCCATCTCTGGGAAACATTCACACACACACACACACACTCATACACTACGGACAATTTAGCCTACCCAATTCACCTGTACCACATGTCTTTGGACTGTGGGGGAAACTGGAGCACCCGGAGGAAACCCACGCAAATGCGGAGAGAACATGCAAACTCCACACAGAAATGCCAACTGAGCTGAGGCTCGAACCAGCGACCTTCTTGCTGTGAGGCGAACGTGCTACCCACTGCGCCACTGCCTCACCTAAAATTGATAATAAATCAATAACGTATTATAGTTCTGGTCCTTGATTCCAATTGGTTGAGCTGCGTTTCAAGTTGTCGTAAAATACTCTACAAACGTAAACCTGTGGCTGTGGCTTGGCAACCTTTCCACTATCAATACTGTGCTAAAGAGGTTTTTTGTTGTGGTTCTGTTTAGTGAAATAACAGTTTTATAAGAGCAATAAACTCTTTGAAACCATAGTTTACAGTGAATTACAACATCTTATGCCGAGTTGAGACTGCATGATTTTTAGCCTTGATTTTGCCTGCTGACAGGTTTTGAGAAATCACAGACGAATGCCTGAAATCACAGGCAAATTGTTGCTCATTCATGTGAGTAACAATCATGCAATGTGAACTACCAAGGACACCATCTGAGAGAATCACCAATGAGTTGCAGACACCCGTGAGATATTTGGCATGCTAAATATCTGGAGCTGTCGGTGATTCAAATCATGCCGTTTGACATGTGTTCTGACTAAAAATCTCATCTGTGATAACCTACAGCCAATGAGAGAGCAGCATCCTCTAGTATGTGTACCTGCAGGCCAGTGGGAGGCTGGGGGAGAAGTTAAAAGCGCTCATTTTCAGTTTATTTTTACTTAAGAAATCGAGGAAAAAGTAGTGTAAATTTGGCAGGAGCACCCATGTCTGTTTGACGTGTCATCTGAGAAATATCACAACCAGATTGAAAATTAAAAAGTTGAAAAGAAATTGCTAATTCACTTCAAAAGCCAAGTGAGAAAATATATAAGTAGATTTTCTACCCCACTAAAGGCTTCTTTCTCATTATGTAGTTAATAACCAAAGATATACTACGTGACCTTGCGTTGTTTCCATCCCACATAGCAAAATTTCTCTGGCCCACACAATCAGGTTTTGCTTGGCCCACATGCCGCAGTGAATTACGGTACATGACTGGACCAAATCTGGCTTCCAGACAAGGGCCAAACACAGACCATATCTGGGCCAAGTCTCAGCCAAGTTAATAACTCATAACTGGGCCTGAACTGGGCCAGATAGGTTGGTGTGTCACGATTGCAATGAAATTGATAAACCCATGGAGTGATGCGCTTTAGGCACACTATGGGCACGCTTTTTCTCAAAGTGACCTGATTAGTAGAATTTTTTTTTCTTTACTCAAAAATGATTTTAGTATATTTTAAATGTTGGTCAAGACTGGCCAAACTCACATGGCCCACTTATCAAATGTTTAAATCTGGGCCAAATACTACGTTTTACATCTGGCCCAAATCTTGTGTGCCGCCTTAAAAACGGTGCCACCTCTGCCAAACCCGGGCCATGTTTGGCCCACATGCTGTATGCCAGTGGCGGATGAATGCCTGCTGTGCCAGCTTTTTGCCAAATCTGGGCCAGAATTCTTTGCTACTAGGGATGTCATTTCTTGGGTGTTTTTGGTTGCGAGATACAGTTTGCGGGCCGAGACAAAGTTGTCTGTAATTCTGTCTATTGTAAAGTCATGCAGTGTGAAACCCCCTATCATCGAACCAACTTGCAGTGTAAACACAGCACCGACGAAATGCTACCACTAGATAGTTATGCAAACATCTGCAGTGTGAAAACATCTGTGACCTGACTACTTTGAAAAACGTGCAGTCTGAACCAAGTTCAGAGGGGGTTTTAGACACTATGTGTCATAGTTAATAATCAGGGCTTGACATTTGCTTTTTTGATCACCAGCCACAGTGGCGAGTAGTTTTCCAACGTTACTAGCCGCTCTGCATTTTCACTAGCCACAATTTTGTTGTTGGGAAAATATTTTTTTATATGCATAAATATAACTTTGACAAGTTACTTGATTTAGATTTTGTGTTTTGGCCACATGCCTCCTCATTCTTTTCACGTTTTGTGTGTCGTGTATGAGCAAATGGGTCATGGTTTCATAGTGTTATACTGCAATTAGTTTTAATTTCACATGACTTTTCAGAACTCAAAATTAAGGATTTACCAAATTTATCTCTGACCACACCAAACAATTATTTCTTTGCCACAATTTTTAAGTGTGTCAAAGCCAGCTAAATATAGCTCCATCCTATACTTTTTATTTAACAAAACAATTGACTTTTAAAAATAATTATTGTCAAAATATGCACAGTAATCTGTCCTGGCTAAAGGTCTCTCAGATCACCAGTTAACTGCACATAAATGGAGAGTTAATCTCATATTAAAGTAATGTTGTTGTAAAGAAATAATAATAACTAAAGCATATAAACAAAACTAACTGTAAGCAAAAGAAAGCAGGTGAAAAACATAGTGTGTGTGATAATGGAAAGATGATCACACGGTTAAGGCCAATTAATAATCTGTTCAAAGCGAAAGCAACCGGTGCTGCTTACAAAAAGACATATTTGGAGCTCTTGAAAGCAGCAAGACTGTGTCTGTAGGTGCATTAGCATTACTTTTTTGCCTGACTATTTGAAAGAGAACCGATCACAGTTGCGTTCAAAGCATGGTTGCTTCAAGCAAGGAAACAGGAGCAGGAGAGAAACAGGAGAGGATCCTCTCATTCGGTATTCATCTGCTTTCTTCTGCTCGTGGGAACGCAATTTTTTTTTGTTAGTCGTGCTGTTTCTCCATTCTAAGATCACATTTGCACGCATATTGGGTCATTCTTATAGTCGAACCCTGCTTTTGAGAAAACCACAATTTAAAAAATTATTTTCAACCAGCCAAAGTGGCTAGTGGGAGTGACTGTCTAACCCGCCAAAGCTGAAATCTACCCGCATTTGGTGGGCTGACAGGTGTTAATGTTAAGCCCTGTTAATAATGCACCTTAGCTGTTAAAAGATCACTGTAAACCACAGCTTCTTGCTTTGAGTAATGGTGGGAAAATTTGATTTCGAACAGTATTTTGACAGGCCTAAAAAGAAAGCGGCCTTAAGAGAAATGCAAACATCAGATATGGTTCAAAACAGGGGATTGGTTTAAAATCGTGTTATATTTCATTTATTCAGTTTGATGTAGTGTAAATCTCTGGACGAGTCTTATTGTGTGTATTTATTTATTTATTTTTGTTAAATAATACATTGCATAGAGCAGTGTTTCCCAACTCTGTTCCTAAAGGCCCACCAGCACTACACAGTTTCAACCTCTTCCTAATCAAACACGCTCGAATCAACCCATCAGAGCATAAGTAGAGACTCCGAAACCTGAAATGAATGGGTCAGGTAAGGTAGACATCCAAAATATGTAGTGTTGGTGTGACAACAGGAGCTCGGTTGGGAAACACTGATATAAAGACTAAAACAGCATGATTTATTTCGCTGTGTTGTGAACTCCGGTTGGGAAACACTGGCATAGAGTATGATACAGTGTTTTTTTTTTTATCGCATGTTAGTTTATACATTTCTAGCTACCATAATGGTTGTAAATACATGTAGAGAACAAAAAACATCATTAGTACATATAAAAGATTAACATTATAATAATATTAAAATAATAATAGGAAAAAAAGAAAGAAAGAAAGGTGTGACGTTGATCATAACAATATGGCTTATTATTGAGTTCGTCTCTTTAGGAAAATAGTCGCAATACATGTGTTATTTGTTCCATTTCATACACTTCTTGAATGTATGCGTCCATTACGGACACGTCTTTAGAGATACATCCAGCTGCTGAACCGCAGAACTAACACACGTTTTAGGCACACACAATCTAGCACACACGATTTAGGCAAACCATATATGGTTACTAACTAATCCCTTAGCATTATGGCCACCTATTAAATTTCACAAACATGGTTTCCCATTTCAGTCATTATTACTATTATATCGTAATGATCGTTTTAACATCTGTGCAGTTTTTGGAACTCAAATTATGTAAATAAAAACTATTGGTTAAAGACATATATGACTTAATTCACGAGTCCACATACACAAAGAAAACATAATAGACCGTATAATTGTTGGATTAAGTGTAATAAACTAATTTAGCATCTTAATCTTATCATACCTGGTTAAAATCACTTTGTTGTAAAATATAAAAAGCAAACAATAATGTGTCACATTAAAATGAATTAGCCTACTGTAGTTAATCATTTAAACAATATGTAATATAGTTATAAACTGATTATCTTAACCGATTATCTGATTATAAACTATTATCTTTTACTAAACTGTCACAGCTGTTAGGGTAATTAGGCAAGTTATTGTATAACGATGGTTTGTTCTGTAGACTATTGAAAAAATGAAAAAATAAATTAGCTTAAAGGGGCTAATAAGTTTGTCCTTAAAATGGCTTTTAAAAAAATTAATAACTGCTTTTATTTTAGCCGAAATAAAACAAGTAAGACTTCCTCCAGAAGAAAAAAATATTATCAGACATACTGCGAAAATTTCCTTGCTCTGTTAAACATCATTTGGGAAATATTAAAAAAAGAAAAAAAAATCAAAAGGGGGCTAATAATTCTGACATCAACTGTATATATTTACTTATTTTTCTATTAATTATTAATAGTTAATTTGTTCCTACTGCTAAATTTTGGTTTAAAAACAATATATTGCTTACTATAAATTACTATAGTATTAAATGTGGGAAATCATAATTTAAAGTTATTAGAAAATTAGTTAAATAAACACTATTAAATCGCTTGAGTAAAATATTAATATAGTGTTTTACATTTGTTACATGTAAAACGAGTTTTATTGCATATAAAATGTATTATTGCCTATATTAACTTGCTATTATTTCCTTTTAATGAATCCATCATATAAATTAAACCTGTAATATTTAGATTGTTCAGCAAGGCCAGCAAACGAGTATCTGCCATATTATTGTCAGATGATAATGACTGTTCAGCTATGATGACTGAAAGAAAACTGTTCAGTCTATTATATGGAATGGCTATCGGAAACAATGCTCCCAATTTGCCCGTCTCGATCGCAATATTTATGAAATAAATTAAACACTATTGTTTAATTTTGTACAATATTTATTAACCATATATATCAAAATATATAGATGACGATGTTCAAAAAGACGTTAATAACATCATCATCCCTCTTAACCATATATGGTTTGCTTAGATTGTGTGTGCCTAAAACGTGTGTGGTTCTGCGGGCCTGCAGCTGGATATTATTGCGTCTTGACTGTTGCACAACTATGGCCATTTTCCAGCTTTACGTGGGGATCGCCAAACAGTGTCCAGCTACATCACTACTAAAAAATACATCCGAACACCTTCTTTTCTCTCGTTCTCAGCCGTATTCGCAGAGAGAGGCCCCTATCGTGCGTGTGGTTGAAGGTCCTCTGTTCGCAGAGGTTGTGGCACATTATCAGCACTTCCAGCAGACGGTCCGCATTCATAATGTTCCAGGTACTCCATCTGTCCTGCGTGCAAACATGTGTGAGGACATCCTGGCCTGTCTGATCATTTATTCCTGACGTGTCTCTGCTCTGTCATTCAGGGGTTGACGGTCTTTCTTTGGACATCACCACTATGGTGGACATCAGAGATCAGAATAACAAAGAGCTGGCCATGAGGTTCGTCACCGACATCCAGAGCGGAGATACTTTCTACACGGATCTCAACGGCTTTCAGGTGAATCCACACGACTAGAAACTGTTGCTGGGCTAACATGCGGGTTTGTTAATCAGAGCTGAAGTGAGAGTTCAGCCAAAAATGGACATTTGCTTGTAGTTTGCTATCCCTGAGGTCATCAGAGATGTAGGTGAGTGCTGCCGGCAGCTAGCTTTCTGCAACTCTCACATGGTTGCCCACTGAAGCTAAGCAGGGCTGCGCCTGGTCAGTACCTGGATGGGAGACCACATGGAAAAGCTAGGTTGCTGCCGGAAGTGGTGTTAGTGAGGCCAGCAGGGGGCGCCCAACCTGCGGGCTGTGTGGGTCCTAATGCCCCAGTATAGTGACGGGGACGCTATACTGCTCAGTGAGCGCCGTCTTTCGGATGAGACGTTAAACCGAGGTCCCGACTCTCTGTGGTCGTTAAAAATCCCAGGATGTCCTTCGAAAAGAGTAGGGGTTTAACCCCGGCATCCTGGCCAAATCTGCCCACTGCCCACTATTCAATTGGCTTCATCACTGTCTCCTCTCCACCAATCAGCTGGTGTGTGGTGTGCGGTCTGGCGCAAAATGGCTGCCGTCGCATCATCCAGGTGGATGCTGCACACTGGTGGTGGATGAGGAGATCCCCCCCCCACATTGTGTAAAGCGCTTTGAGTGCCCAGAAAAGCGCTATATAAATGTAAGGAATTATTATTATTATTATTATTTAAGGATAGTGTCAAAAATTACAATAGTTATTTTGCTAGCGCACGCCTTGGGTAGCCTAGTTTAGCCTGTATGTGTTTGTTTGATTCTCAAAGGGCCGATAGCCTTTGACGTGCATTTTATAAATCACTAAAGATCACGTTTTGAGCTAAAAATCTTCTATAGTGTTCTGAAGTCACTAAATGTGACCTGAGGGGGAGTAAAATTACAGTGAATTTGTGTTGATTGGTTGAACTCTCTCTTCAGCGAGCACACGGAGCAGAAGTTGATTTGATCTACTGTGGCTCCACACTGCTCATCTGCCAGATAATCAAGCTAATGCCGCATGCCTTTTCTGCTCATCAGATTCAGCCTCGGCGATACTTCCAGAAACTTCCACTACAAGCCAATTTCTACCCCATGCCCAGCACAGCATACATCCAGGACAGCCAGTACCGGCTCACGCTCCACACGGCACAGGCTCTGGGGGTTACCAGTCTGGCCAGCGGTGAGTCGGGCTCCGTTTAGTGGATTCTTGCATGAAATGTCATGTCAGTACTCTATTTATATAGTAGTTGTATTACAGATTTGTTTTAATTTTACACACATGTATTTTTATTTTGTTCATACAGATATTAGTGCAAAAACAGAAATGCAAATATTATTTATATGAACCCTTCAAAAATATAGCAGCGCATAGCCCAAATGAAAGTTTTTCATTCATTTATTCATTTTATTGTCAGCTTAGTCCCTTTAATAATCCGGGGTCGCCACAGCAGAATGAACCGCCAACCTATCCAGCAAGTTTTTACGCAGCGGATGCCCTTCCAGCCGCAACCCATCTCTGGGAAACATCCACACACACTCATACATTACGGACAATTTAGCCTACCCAATGCACCTGTACCGCATGTCTTTGGACTGTGAAGGAACATGCGGAGGAAACCCACGCGAATGCAGGGAGAACATGCAAACTCCACAGAGAAACGCCATCTGAGCTGAGGCTTGAACCAGCAACCTAGCGACCTTCTTGCTGTGAGGCGACAGCACTACCTACTGCGCCACTGCTTCGGCCAAAGTTTTTTTTATATCAGCATGTCAGCCAGTGTTAAAGATTATTTTGTTTACACAAATTTATGTAGTTTTTGTACAAATTTGATGCACTAAAATACCATTAAGCAAGCTGTAAAACTCGCTGATATCCAAAATCTTAAGAATTGATTTAATACCATTGTAGTTTGTATAAAACAAATACATTTGTATAAAAGTTGGGCTATGCGCTGCTATTTTTTTTTTTATTTTTATAAGAGTTAATATAAATATTATTTGTATTTCTGTTTTTGCACCAATATTTTGTATTAACAAAATAAAAAATATATTTGTGTGGAATTTAAATAAACTTGTACTACTGCTACTACTATACCAAATAGAGTAAATACCCTCATCGGCCACTTTTTTAGGTACACCTGTCTAACTGCTCATTTATGCTATTTTTTTCTAATCAGCCAATCACATGGCAGCAACTCAATGCATTTAGGCATGTAGACATGGTCAAGATGATCTGCTGCAGTTCAGAAAGGTGATTTAAGTGACTTTGAATGTGGCATGGTTGTTTGTGCCAGACGGGCTGATCTGAGAATTTCAGAAACTGCTGATTTACTTTTCACGCACAACCATTTCTAGGGTTTACAGAGAATGGTCCAGAATGATGTCAGTGGAGAATGGCCAGACTGGTTCCAGCTGATAGGAAGGCAACAGTAACTCAAATAACCACTCATTACAACCGAGGTATGGAGAAGAGCATCTCTGAACACGCAACACGTCCAGTCTTGAGACGGATGGGTTACAGCAGCAGAAGACCACACCGTTTGCCACTCCGGTCAGCTAAGAGCAGGAAACTGAGGCTAAAATTCACACAGGCTTACCAAAACTGGAAAATAGAAGATTGGAAAAATGTTTGACTTGATTTTTGCTGCAACATTCGGATGGTAGGGTCAGAATTTGGTGTCAACAACATGAAAGCATGGATCCATCCTGCCTTGTATCAATACTTGAGGCTGGTGGTGGTGGTGGTGGTGTAATTGTATGGGGAATATGTTCTTGGCACACTTTGGGCCCATTAGTACCAGTAGAGCATCTAGTCAACGCCACAGCCAAATCTGCAGCGACTGCGTGATGCTATCATGTCAATGTAGACCAAAATCTCTGAGGAATATTTCCAGTATCTTGTTGAATCTATACGAAGGATTAAGGCAGTTCTGAAGGCAAAAAAACCTTGTACTAGTTAGGTGTACCTAATAAAGTGGGTGGTGAGTGTAATTTTGATAATATCTTAATATTGGTTATATTTCTGCTGATATTCCCTTGTTGATATTCCTGTTTATAAATGTTTTATTTATTTTTTTATTTTATATAATCGCAGAGATTACAGTAGGATATTTTTGCAATATCATTGATTTACAGCTATAATCAAATCCTGTTCATAGAAAGGTTAGTAGTTAACATTTATACAATAGTATTTATGTGTAAAACACAAGCCTGATGAAGGTGACCTGCACTGTACTGTACCACTCAGCGGAAACGACTCATTTTAGTTATTGAATCATACTTTATTTATTTATTTATTTATTTATTTCTTTATTTATTTATTTATTTATTTATTTATTTGTTTGTTTTAAAGAGCAAATTTAAGTGTAAAAACTAATACAGGATTTGACACACTCCTTGAATTGGATCGTATTTACATAAAATGCTAAATTGCAGCATGTAGCTCAACTTTTTTAATTGGCTTATTTATATTAAATAGTTTGCATGACTTCATGCTTCGGGAAGGTTACTAAGCAACAATAGCACACCCTAATTAATATTCATGAGCTGAGCCATTTCCATACTAAGATTTCAACTTTTTTTCTACAATTGGAGCTGTTGGAAAAACTTGCTTTATTATGTTGCTTTCAATTTCGTATCGACTAAAGTAGCGCTACCTTTTAGATCCATAGCAGTGAGGAACATGAATCAGGGAGTGAGACGGTAGGGAGGTGGAAAACACTAACAGTGGGACACAGTGCTCTGCTTGTGTATTGATTCGATGCAATGTATCCAATAATGAAGATGAAGTGAGTGTACCGTCTAATGCTCAGCCTTGCTCTCTCTCGCTCTCTTCATCTTTCCCTCTTATGCTCTCTCAATCTTCCACAGGTCAGCTGGAGGTAATCCTGGACCGCAGACTGATGCAGGATGATAACAGGGGATTGGGACAAGGCCTGAAAGACAACAAACGGACAGCTAACAGGTTCCGTCTTCTGCTGGAGAGGCGGAGCAACAGTGCAAAGGTGATGTCTGATTGGATATGGATATAAAGGCGCTAAATTAGGGCTGCTCAACCCTGTTCCAGGAGATCTACTTTCCTACAGAGTTCAGCTTCAACCCTGATCAAACACACCTGAACCAATTAATTAATCAGGCCCTGAGCAGCACTTGATAATTACAGGCAGGTGTGTTTGATATAGGTTGCAACTGAAATCTGCAGGAAGGTAGATCTCCAGGAACTGGCTTGAGCACCTCTGCACTAAATCGAGCTCAGAGTTTGGATTAGTACAGGATTTTTGGTAAGTTTTAATTAGGCCAAATTTACAAAAAAAAAAACAATTGGTATAGAAGTGACTTGGCTGTGAATAATGAGCTTTAAATTTCAAAACTGTGTTATAGTCCAGTGTTTCTCAACTACGTTCCTGAGGGACCACCAGCTTTGCACATTTTCCATGTCTTCTCCACCAAACATCACAGCTCATTAGCAGAGACTAAGGCCCAATCCCAATTCTACCCCTTAGCCTTTCTTCTTACCACTACCCCTTGTTTTGCGCATTCCCGTGAAAGGGTAGGGGTGTCTCAATTCTCTTTAGCTTAAAGGAGTAGTGCTAAGGGGAAAGGTTAGATACTAACCTAGATAATAGCACTTCGAATGGAGATTTTTCAGGACCACCCTCGAAACCAAAGGGGTAAGAAAATTTCCTAGAATACAGCAGCCACAATGACAGTATAGCTGCACCCAGAAGTAAGGAGACGCATAAATTAATATTTTTTGTCATTATTACGAATTTTACAACAAATCAGCACATGTTTTAATACATTTATAAGTGTGTTCGTGTTTTACGGTCATGCTTTTAAACAAAAAACGCTAAATTTCGATATCTATAATCCATAATCATAACTCCTGTACAGCAGTCCCACAACATTCTGACACTCGATGACACTCAGAAACCCTGTCAGAAAGGTCTAGTGGGTTAGAATGGGCTTTTTACAGTGTCTGCTATTAATGTTAATGTTGTTTTGGTGTGTTTACATAGATGAATATGGCCACTGTGTAAATGCACAGAACAGTTACGATCTTATAGCCACATTAGATCATGATAACACAATATATGGCTTCTGTGTTTTCCTGAAGGTAAATACCAAAAAATAATGCAACTGTAAACAGCAGTCGCTATTGTCTGATCTCATATGAAGTAAGAGATCGCAATGACCTGTGTAGGTGCTGTAGTGCTGCGGTAAATTTTGAAGCCATTCCCCTTCACACTCGATTTTAAGGGCGAAGAATTGGGATTAGGCCTAAAAGACCTGTAATGGGTGTGACAGACGAATGAGACGTCCAAAACATGCAGTGTTGGTGGTCCTTCAGGAACGTGGTTGAGAAGCACGGTTATAATAGACAGTAGATCTTTTTTCTTAAGAAATTTTAAGGTCATTATGCTAATGCTGACTGAAATGCATTTTAACATTATCCTATACTAACAATAACCTGTAAAAAAACTAATTTTAACTATGCATTAGCCTAACCCTAACTAACTTAAAACAAATCTGAACCTGCTACAATGTGCCTGACAAAATTGTATATATATATATATACACACACACACACACACACACACACACACACAAATGTTTGTGATTCTGTATGATGTAAAAGCCACAGTTTTATTGTAAAACCAACCAGACCCAGTTTTAATATGCGTCTCTTAAAATGCAAATGACCTGCTGCTTCCACTCCCTTTTTCAGAAGAGGGCGGTACCTTGACAACAAAACAGGCATATATTTTAAAGCCATGCTATATTCTGACGCAGACATGACGTGCCACAAAGTCACTTGAGTTCTAAAAGTTCTCTTTCATGGCAACTAGTCAAATAGACACAGGGTTATGTCAAAAATATGCAAATTACACTATACTGGTTATGTTTGAAAATGAAAATAGTTAAGGAAGAATCACATTTATCATTCATTCATTTTCCTTCGGCTTAGTCTCTGATTTATCAGAGGTCACGACAGTGGAATGAACCGGCAACAATTCCAGCATATGTTTTATCCACCAGATGCACTTCCAGCAACACACAGTACTGGAAAACACCCATACACTCTCACATTCACACACACTAATACACTACATCTAATTTTAGTTTACCCAATTCACTTAGTGGGGGAAAGCGGAGCACCCGGAGGAAACCCACGCCAACATGGAGAACATGCAAACTCCACACAGATATGCCAACTGACCCAACCTGGACCCGAACCAGCGACCTTCTTGATGTGAGGCGACAGTGCTAAACCACTGAGCCACTGTGCTGCCTATCACATTAATCAATAAAATAGATATATGAATAAATAGCATTCCTTGTTGGCGACAACACACCTCTGACACAGCTAATCCTCGGGAATTATAGAAATTTCCTATAAGAAAACTCAGTCACACACACTGTAAAACCCCAAAAATTAAGGTAACACAAACCATTTGAGGAAACCGATTGCAACAAACCATTTAAGCTCAAAAGCTAATCCTAATGAGTACTGTGAACTTAATCTATTTGAGTAAACGAAGCAATTTGAGCACAGTAAAACCCAATAAATGAACAGAACTTAAACCAGTTGAGTACTGTAAAACCCAGTAAGTTAAGGCAACTCAAACCATTTGAGTAAAAAAACGAATCTATATGAGTACTGTGAACTTACTCCATTTAAGTTGAAGTAATAAGGTATTTAATTTACTCCTTACCTTCAACACTGAGTTCAAAACTCTTTTAAATTGAGCAGAATTAACTTTCGGTTCATTTTGAGTTAATTACACTCATTGGATAAAGTTAACTGTTGGGCTTTACAGTGCAGTGGAGTGAGTTCAGAAGCCGTGTTTAGTTTTATATAAATGACTCCCTTTGAAGTGACATCACACACTAAAACAAGCTGATATGACCCCTTTAATGCAATTTTGTTTCCTGGCTGACTGATAAAAACCTGCACACCCTGAACTGGCATGAGCTGACTTCTCTAATTGGAGCCTGGCTGCAATGTGGGCTTCAGAGGAGAGATCTCTTCATGCATACCAAAATATTGCTGTCCAGTATTAGCGTGAGCATTATGGGAAGTGTAATTTCAGCCAGTGGCCTGTAGGAGGCCCTCTTTGGTTAATCATGAGAGCTTTGTAAAAAGCTCCAGGGAAAGAATCACATTAGGATCAGTGCGTTTCAAAGCTGGCAAGTGTGTAATAACACTTAATGGGCTTTAGAGTTTATACACGCCGGCTGATTTGAATAATATATCTATTTTTTTTTTTTACTCAAATCGTTGCCTGAAAGATTTAAAATAGTTAATAATAGATATTAATAGACATCATATACCCCACCCCTTGGGTTTCCCACCATTACACGCCTTCCTCATGCCTTTCTCTTTGTGCTTGCTCATTCACTCATCATCATGTCTTTCTCTCCTCATGCATGCAGCCTGCTGGCTCCTATGCCAACATGCTAAACAAAATCATTGCTGGTATTTTAGGAGACGGCCAGGAAGAGGTAACCTCGCTGCAGCGGTGGAGAGTAGCACTCTAGCAATTTCCGAGAGCCCTAGTTCGGCTTGTTACCATAGCAACAAGTGACAGGTTTCCACCTGGATTAAGAGGCCAAAGGTCTCTTCCTGTCTGCTATCTGTACCTGTGCTGCTGTGCCCTCAAAGCAGTGATATAGCATGAGAAGATGGCAGCCTGTAGAGGAGTAGGATGTACAAACCTGTATTCGGGAGGGGGAAAAAAAGTTGGGAAGTTTTGTAAAATGCACTGAAATCAAGAATCCGTGGTTTGAATAGATTCTCTGTAACTTGTATTTAATTGATACGACTAGAGAAGACTTCCAGTGTTTTCATTAACAAACGTGAGCATGTCTTGTAAACACAAACAATTATATTTTGCTTAAAAAACTTTAAATGGAGGCTAATAAATGTAAAGAAGGTTGTAGAATATCCAAATTCAACTACTATGAAACTTTCTGCAATATGCAGGTGAGCTGGTAATGTGTGATGGCTTCATGTTTGGGTATAAAATGTGACTTGGGACCACAAAACCTTAAAGGTCCTGTGAAATTACAGGTGCAGTAGGTGATTGTCTTCAGAAGCATTTGATTGTGCTGGTTGAAAGTCTCTTCACATTCCAATAGTAATGATAAAGGTAAATTATGTAAATGTATTTATATGTATTTTTGGTAACACTTTATTTTGATGGTCCATTTGAGTATTAGTAGACTACCTGCTTAATATCTGCTAATAAACTGTTCGTAATTAATGTTAACTTGCACTAACCCCAACCTAACAATACTTATCTAATGAGAATTAGTTGGCATGTAGATGCAATGTAACTAAAATTAAACAAACGGACTATCAAAAAAAGGTGTGAGCATATTTTTATATCCTGACTAAGGCATAAGACAAAAAAATGTTCGTTCAATTAAAATTTGTCAAGCCGATAATTCACATAATACAGATAAGTAGCCCAAACTGTCTGTCAGCAAATGTAGATTTGTACATCTGCGCACCACTGTTTACACAAATCCACCGTTTGTGCGTGCACACGAGAGAGTGACAGTGGTAAAAACAAATATTGGATCAATATCGGTGTTACTTTTGCACAGTGGAGGAAGTATGACACCTGACAGCCTGTCTTCATGTTTCAGTTGAAATGATGTCAAACACTGAATAAAAAATGCCCATTTCAAAGCACTTCATGGGAACTTTAAGCTACAAGGACAAATTTTATTATTATTTTATTTAAAAAATTATTAAAATATTAAGTTCCGTAAAGACCTTTTTCCGTAAATATATCAAAATATAATTTTTGATCGGTAATATGCATTACGGTCATAATTTCGACGAACTTTAAAGACATTTTTCTTAACATTTTAATTTTTGTTGAACCTGCAGATTCCACATTTTCAAATAGTTGTGTCTTATACTAGATACTTTTCTACCCTAACGAACCATGAATCAATAGAAAGCCTACAGCGGGGAAAATAAGTATTGAAAACCATTAAGAAATCTAAGAACCAAAGAAATCAATATATCCATAAAAATATATCAAATTAGTTAACAAATGAAGTTATGTGTAATAAAATGAAATGATGTAGGGAAAAATATTGAACACATGAAGAAAGGGCGGTGTAAAAAGGCAGTGAAAGCCCAGACAGCAACTGAAATCTCTCAGTAATTCTTCAGCAACCCTCTGGCCGTCATTGTAAATTAATAGTAGCTGCTTCAGTCCAACATTTACATTTTCAGGATGATGAAGATAAAACCAGGGTGGACATTTCAGCTGGACAATGATCCAAAATGCAGCTAATGAGACTCAAATGCTTTCAGAGAAGGAAAGTCATGCTGTAGAATGGCCCAGCCAATCACCTGACTTGACTTTAATAGAGAATACAAATTAAAGCTCAGACTTGATCGACGAGACCCACAGAATCATCAAGATTTTTACACTCTGTTGAAGTCTGTGGAAAAACTCACACCTGAGCAATTCATACGACTTCAGTCTCCATATAAGAGTCGTCTTTAAGCTGCCATCACCAAAAAAGCCTTTTATATGAAATATTAAATATGTTTCAGTAGTTCAACACTTGTGCCATTTAATTGTTATTACACATAATTGATTTTCAGATTTGTTTTGTTTTATTTTTATGTTTGTATTGTTTGCTTTTACTAAAATCTGATTCAGTTCCATGTCAACAGCTCCTTTAGAAATATTATTCCCAGGAAAAACATGATGTGTTCAATACTTGTTTTCCCCGCTGTATTCATTCAGTTTCCAGATGAATATAAATCTCAATTTCAAAAATCTGACTCTGTGATCCATGGTCACAAATGAGCATCTCAATCTCAATCTCCTTCGGGGCTCATCATTTTGTGGTAAAATTCATGAGAGGATTGTCAACAATGACAGCAGAAAGCATTCTCAATGCAAAAATTGCAAAGAAGTCTTTCACCAGCGACTATAAATCATGTTGTGGGATGCTTCATGGAATCCAGATAACTGCACAGATCTCGGTGTGTGCAGCACAATGCAGGAAACCTCAGCTGAATAAGCTCGACCTTTGAGCCCTCAGATGGCAGTGCATAAAATACAGTCATTCTGTGGCGTTAAACAAAACCACATGGGCTTAGAAAAGCCCCTGTCATTTAACACAGCCTCGGGTGCATCAAGAAATACAGCATACATCTTTGTTAGTGAAGTAGAAAGCTACACTGTACATCAGCTCTCTGCAGTGAAGGCATTATGGCTTCTCAGGGTCAGAGAGTCAAAAAAAGACTTGCTGCTTTCAGGTCCATGTTTCACTTTGATTCTGGAAAACATGGATGTATAGATCTCAATCTTAAAGAACAAAGCAACCAAATGCAAACAATTTTCATGGTATAAAGGTGTAGAAATCTTGGAGTGCCACTTGATCGGATTCAAGACCTGTGAAGAGATGATGCCAACTCTACTAGGACTTAAAGAGATGATGCCAAACCTAAAAGCACTTGAAGAGATTATGCCAACCATCTGAGCTCTTCAAGAATAACACTTCATTGAACATGTATTATTAGTATCAGTATTAGTATTAGACTGCAGCTCTGCACAAGAAGTTTGGCCGGAAAAGAAATGGTTGTGACCAACTGAGTCTGGTCTCTCTCAAGGTTTTTTTTTTTTTCTTCTTCACTTTCGTCAATTGGTGAAGGTTGTTCCTCGCCACTGGCTCGCATGATTTAGGACTTGGATGGATTTGCTCTTCAGTGTTTGGACTTTCATTAGTGAAAATAAACTGAACTGAACTGAAGCGCTTTTACATTGTAGATTGTGTCAAAGCAGTTTAACATAGAAGCTCTAGAACATTGAATCTGTGTCTGTCCAGTTTTCAGAATCGAAGTGTACTTCAGTGTGGCTTAATTTTCACTGCTGAAAGTCCAAACACTGAAGAGCAAATCCATCAATGCGCAGCTCTACAGGTGCCGAACCAAACAAGCAAGTGGCGACAGTGGAGAGGAACAAACTTCACCAATTGACGAAAGTGAAGGAAAAACCTAGAAAGAAACCGGGCTCAGTTGGGCACAACCACTTCTCCTCTGGCCAAACTTTTTGTGCAGAGCTGCAATCTAGGCGCTCGAGAATGTTGGACGTCCATTGTGGAGAACTCCAGGTGTAAGTAGTTCACCGGCTTGTTTTCAGGCTGGCCCACGGAATCAATGCGAAGACTCGTCGCCCTCTGGGGTCTTTCAGAAATCTGTCTCATGCTTTCCACTTCTTCATGACCATAACAATATCTGCTCAGGATATGGCCGGGTCCAGAATTATGGATACCCTAACATACTGCCTTTAATGTGACGTCTTTCATGGGAAGTATATGGTTATTAGATAAAGTCTCATTCTGAATGTACGGTGTAGTTTCATAGGCATGGCCTGAATGTGCTTGACCATCCAGATCTGTCTCCTATTTAACATCTATGAAACATCATGCAATTGAGGATCACACAATGATGACCATGAATTGTTGAGCATCTCAAGTCTGGTATCTGGTATTGTTGAGCATCTGAAGTCTGATATCTGGTATTGTTGAGCATCTCAAGTCTGATATCTGGTATTGTTGAGCATCTCAAGTCTGATATCTGGTATTGTTGAGCATCTCAAGTCTGATATCTGGTATTGTTGAGCATCTCAAGTCTGATATCTGGTATTGTTGAGCATCTCAAGTCTGATATCTGGTATTGTTGAGCATCTCAAGTCTGATATCTGGTATTGTTGAGCATCTCAAGTCTGATATCTGGTATTGTTGAGCATCTCAAGTCTGATATCTGGTATTGTTGAGCATCTCAAGTCTGATATCTGGTATTGTTGAGCATCTCAAGTCTGATATCTAGTATTGTTGAGCATCTCAAGTCTGGTATCTGGTATTGTTGAGCATCTCAAGTCTGATATCTAGTATTGTTGAGCATCTCAAGTCTGGTATCTGGTATTGTTGAGCATCTGAAGTCTGATATCTAGTATTGTTGAGCATCTCAAGTCTGATATCTAGTATTGTTGAGCATCTCAAGTCTGGTATCTGGTATTGTTGAGCATCTCAAGTCTGGTATCTGGTATTGTTGAGCATCTGAAGTCTGATATCTAGTATTGTTGAGCATCTCAAGTCTGGTATCTGGTATTGTTGAGCATCTCAAGTCTGGTATCTGGTATTGTTGAGCATCTCAAGTCTGGTATCTGGTATTGTTGAGCATCTCAAGTCTGATATCTGGTATTGTTGAGCATCTCAAGTCTGATATCTGGTATTGTTGAGCATCTCAAGTCTGATATCTTGTATTGTTGAGCATCTCAAGTCTGGTATCTGGTATTGTTGAGCATCTCAAGTCTGATATCTGGTATTGTTGAGCATCTCAAGTCTGGTATCTGGTATTGTTGAGCATCTCAAGTCTGGTATCTGGTATTGTTGAGCATCTCAAGTCTGGTATCTGGTATTGTTGAGCATCTCAAGTCTGATATCTGGTATTGTTGAGCATCTCAAGTCTGGTATCTGGTATTGTTGAGCATCTCAAGTCTGATATCTGGTATTGTTGAGCATCTCAAGTCTGATATCTGGTATTGTTGAGCATCTCAAGTCTGATATCTGGTATTGTTGAGCATCTCAAGTCTGATATCTGGTATTGTTGAGCATCTGAAGTCTGATATCTGGTATTGTTGAGCTTCTCAAGTCTGATATCTAGTATTGTTGAGCATCTCAAGTCTGATATCTGGTATTGTTGAGCATCTCAAGTCTGGTATCTGGTATGGTTGAGCATCTGAAGTCTGATATCTAGTATTGTTGAGCATCTCAAGTCTGGTATCTGGTATTGTTGAGCATCTCAAGTCTGGTATCTGGTATTGTTGAGCATCTGAAGTCTGATATCTGGTATTGTTGAGCATCTCAAGTCTGATATCTGGTATTGTTGAGCATCTCAAGTCTGATATCTGGTATTGTTGAGCATCTCAAGTCTGATATCTGGTATTGTTGAGCATCTCAAGTCTGATATCTAGTATTGTTGAGCATCTCAAGTCTGGTATCTGGTATTGTTGAGCATCTCAAGTCTGATATCTGGTATTGTTGAGCATCTGAAGTCTGGTATCTGGTATTGTTGAGCATCTCAAGTCTGATATCTGGTATTGTTGAGCATCTCAAGTCTGATATCTGGTATTGTTGAGCATCTTAAGTCTGGTATCTGGTATTGTTGAGCATCTCAAGTCTGATATCTGGTATGGTTGAGCATCTAAAGTCTGATATCTGGTATTGTTGAGCATCTCAAGTCTGGTACCTGGTATTGTAGACCATCTTAAGTCTGATATCTGGTATTGTTAAGCATCTCAAGTCTGAAAATAATTTGCTTGTAAAACTTAATTCCCACTCAAGTAAATGTAATAACTAAAAGGAACAACATTGAAATCAGATGGTGTTTATATTTTTTATATATATATATATATATATATATATATATATATATATATATATATATATATATATATATATATATATATATATGAATGTTTTATATGCAATAGTCGCTTTAGAAAAAATCATCTGCTAAATGACTATGTAAATGGGAAATATATACAGAATACCCTATGGTTAATGAAAACACTGGAAATCCTTTCTTTGTACTTTTATCAATCAATTAAGTAAAGCCTAAAGGTGTAGTTTACCCAATAATTCTGCTAGCATTTATTCAGCTCTCACTTGTTGGAAATCCTTTTGAGTTTCTTTTATTGAACACAATTGACTAAAGCGTCCATTGACTTCCATAGTCATTTGTTTCCTACTATAGAAGTCAATGTGTGCCAGCAACCAGCACTCTTCATTAGTTTTTAATTGAAGAAAGAACCTCATAAAACCACATGAGGGGGAATAATTGATGATGGAATTTCATCTTCCCTTTAACAAGAATTTTACTGCATTTTACAAAATGCCCCGACCATATTTTAACGTTGCTTTATAGATGTAGAATGTGTATTGAGCTTGTGTTAATACCCTACAGTCACCCCAGTGTGTTACGTAAATAATAGAAGTCAATGGATTGTGGTTTTAGAAGTCAATAGAAGTCAATGGACTGTGGTTTTACTTGCATGTTGTCCTGAACCATGTCTGTATCTTCCAGCCGGTGGACAGCAGACCGGTCAGCTTCCCGTCTCTGCTCAGTCACATGACCTCCACCATCCTCAACCATGAGGTGCTGGCACTGCCCGTGTTGCCCAGGAAACATGGCGTGCCACCCATGCGAACCTTCGCCCCATTGGCTGGCACTCTGCCCTGCGACTTCCACCTGCTGAACCTCAGGAGCATCCAAAGCCCGGTAAATGAAAGCCCTGAGAGGAAAAAAATAGTGTGTCAGTATCGATTTCGGCTGCTGTGAAACTGATGAGGACTTGAGTTCGTAATGAGAAAAAAAAAACGTTCAGACTTCAAGTGTTGTGGATCTTGTGGTCCGCTGGTTTTTATTGTGGATGTGTTTTGAGGAGGAGGAGGAGGTGCGGGGTTGCTTTTTATTGACTTTTATTTGGTTTTCTATTATTCTTTTTTCCAGCAGGACGCTCACTCTCCATCTCCCTATATGGCTTTGCTGCTGCACAGACTGGGTTTGGACTGTGGTCTGGAGCCGCAGAATCCTGGTTTCAACTGCACCACCACACAAGGCCAGGTCAGTGTCCTTTTTAAACAAAACATATGCAGCATATATATTTATGTGCCAACGGCCAGTTGTTTATAAATAATCAGGTACTAATCAGGGCCAATTATACCATATCAAAATCAGGCATCAAATTTTCTTGTTTAAAATGGCTTTGATTGACAATATTAACACTTTTGTGCACTGCACTTGAACTTATAGTCATTATATACAAGGTAATGTGCTGTGAGTTAACATCCTAATAACCTACCGTAAACGAAGATGCTGTAATAAATGTATTATTCATGTTACATTTACATTAATGCAACCTTTTGTAATGTTGCTATATACCTTTTATTTCATTTAATATATTCCATGTATTTTAAAATCACATTTGGAAATGTGGAAAATGGTCACCTTGTTTTTGAAATATATTGTAAACTATATTTTGACGTTTATTATATTGACCTTATTCTAAAATGCAGAAGTGCACCTGTTTTTTTGATTGTCTTAGAACTTCCGATTCAGTCGCCTATGGGAGAAATGACTAGGAATAATAAACGGCAGAAAACGGTCAAACTACTTGCTCTAAAAAACAAATGTTTGCATGACTATACAGACCAAGTAGAAGAATATAATAAAAAAATATCAAATTGCAACATCAAGCAGCGTAACAAGCAGTTTTTAATGTAAAAAAATAATGGAAGCGAATGAGACCGGAAGTCTCAAGCCAAAAAGATTCAAATGGCAGCACCCGCTCGTCGGCGGAGAATAAGGTGAATACTATGTAATAAACAAGGTACCCATTTTCCACATGTCTAAATTTAGCTTTTATGTTAAAAATAACTATTGTGGAATTAAAATATCAAAACGTACATGAAGTGTTTCATTGTCTTTCAGTGTAACATTTATGTAAACATGAAAAAAAAAACATACTTTGTCTTAAGCCGTGGTCACACTGCACTTTTCGCCCTATAGACGTCCGTTTATACGCATGCAAATGCGACAGACTGGAATCAAAATCTAAAGATGTCTGACAATATTTTGTGATATAAATTACATTGGGCGTCTCCTGTGAACCATGGTAAAAATATATGATAGCTGTTATTCTTTGCTCAAAAAGAACATGCATTTTTAATGACTGAAAATATATGAAGCTGTCAAACCTTTTTTAAAGAGCCCCTATTATGCATTAAAAAGGTCATTATTTTTGGTTTTGGGGACTCCAACGACAGGCTGATGAGCATGCAAGGTCAAAAAACACTTTCATTGTCTTATATTATGCATTTATTTTGACGTAATTATCCCAGCGACTCCCATACAATTTGTGCACTCCTTTGTGCGATGCTAATCTGCGCTGATTGGTCTGATGACCCAGTCTGTTGTGATTGGTCAACTGTGTTAAGCACGAGACAGAGAGAAATGCCCTTGATGGCTTATCAACAATTTTGAAGTAGTCAGAGTGCAAAGTGTACATACCTGCCAACACTATCGTATTTCGTCTATGTGTGAAAGTCTTAAGCTGCGGTCACACTGGACTTTTCTCCCCATAGACTTCCTTTCATACGCATGCGAATGCATCCGACCGGAAACGTAGGGTCATGCGTCAAGTATTTCAGGTCGCTTCGGTGCAAAGTTCAAGCTTGGTGAACTCTAACCTGCGAAATCGAATTACTTGACTGCGTGAGACAATCGAGGATCAAAACATGACCTCCCCTCTGGACAGAAATTTGAAACATAGAGGAATTGCTAGCTTTTTTTAAATGTCTAATCATCTTGTTTAATCCCGCCCCTTTTTGCAGCGCCGCACGACAGAATTTTGCATGCTCAAACTCTAGTGTGACCGCAGCTTAACTAGCCAGTTGAGTGAGCACACTTTCGTTCTGCCCAATCAGAATTGCGCAATCCAACTGTGCGGTTCCCCCAACAAAAAACAAACAAACAGGAAAGCGCGGACAATTAGGATAATGGTGTCTGCTGCTTCAGAAGCATTAATAGACAAATTAATATCATCAGGACATTGGAAATATGGGAATATTTTGGTTTCAAAGTCACAGACACCAAACAAAACCAGGTCGTTTTTAAGAGCTGTCGCAGAATTGTTTACAGATTTTGACAGATTATTGTGCTGAAGCTAGTCTACAAAATTAAATCGCAAATCAAAACGCAAACGCAATATCTGTCAAAAAACAAAAACGCGATTAGGTTATTTTCCACAAATCGCACAGCCCCACTTGAAACTCAAAACTAATAATGTAAATGATTTTTAGTAGCATTTTACATTAAAGATCCATTTGTTAATGTTAGTTGATGTAGTTACCAACATGATTAAACAACGAACAATACATAACAGTATTTATTTATCTTTGTTACGTAATAGAAATAGTCATTCTTACTAACTAAGAGTTCGTTAACTAATGTAAACAAGCACATGATGCATTAATAAATGTTAAAGTATAATTAATAAATCCTGCACAAGTCTTGTTCGTTATTAGTTTGTGCTATGCTACAACCTTATTGTAAAGCGTCATCGGACTCTCAATACATTTAAACAACTTTTCCAACTACACCTACCCCATATTACTTTTGATTTGAGTCATGTTCAGCTAAAACATGTGTGGATGCTTTTAGTTTTGCCTTAGAAATGTGTGGATGCTTCTTTGTAGGTCTGAAAGGGGCTATATTTAGTCCTTCTGAATCTGAGTCTGTGATCTCTCTCTTTCATAGCTCTCCGTTTCTGGGCTGTTCCGTGGGCTGGATCTCCAGCTCCTGCAGCCCATGTCTCTGTCTCTGATGCACTCTCAGCCTCCGCTCTCTAACGACTCCTCCGTCAGTCTGGAGCCAATGGAGATCTCCGCCTACAAGCTCAAGCTGTGCTAGAACCATGCTGCTCCAGAACCGGGCTCTCCGGGTGGACCCTTGGAACCTGTGCGAAAGCATAGAGATGAGCAATTGGATGAGCAGCGAACTCTTTTCTGAGATGGTTGATCCACTTAATGTATCCAAATCAACATGAAGGCGCTCGATATAGGGGAGACATAAAAACAGAGCGTTCCAGCCAAAGTCAGATTTGGTAGCCGGGCAGGGTGTTGAGATAAGAATGTCCGCACATGTTTTTGTTTTGTTTTTTGGGGAGATTTTATCAAGCAGAGCGCTGATCGGTCAACATTTTCTTTATCCAGCAGTGCCGACCATTGTTTTTTCTTGTTTCCTTTTTGTCTTTGGCTGGAACTTGCTGACCGTTTCTCATTCTTTCTTTTTATATATCGTCCCTGGAGTTCGTACTATATGTAAATAGTCTCCAAAAAGCTACACAAACACACACAGCTGGATCTATACAAAACTGTGGGACTCAGTGCAATATGGGAAGCTTCTCTTTGGCGGTTTTTCTTTCTCCGTTTCCGTTTTCCACTCCTCAGGCCTTGGAAGCTACGCTTGAATCTGTCTCATTGTTTGAGCTCACGCCGTTCTTTTCATTTCTTTATCTCTCTACTGTGTGGACGATTCTGCCTACACTCGGCGGTCGTGTGTGTTTTTTTTTCTTTCTTTCTATGAATGTCAATCACCACGCTCGGCCTGTGAAGGCTGTCAATGCTGCGGCATTTACAGATCACTTTCATTACGACTTGCAACACTTTGACAGCGAAAGATGTCCGTGAGCCTGTGGCAGTCAAGGGCTGTGGCTTGCTGTCATTGGTTGGTTATTTAGTACGTTACGACTCAAAATCACCAATCGTTTCCCTTGACATGTTCTGTTAATGAAAACATCCGCAATACATTTCTGACCTTATTTCCTCAATCACAGCAGAATCCCACTGAATGTGTGCTCGGCCATACTATATGCAGCCTTTTTGGGGATCAGATTTCCGAGTTATGCAGAGTTGGTCTTATTTCAAGACTTGGATCAGTCTACGAGCTTACCTAGACTTCAATACATGTGCTAGATAAACAGTATTTTCAGGTCATCGCAGCTTGTATCCAGTTGTACAGGTACCATTGCGGGTATCTTAAAGCTCCCGGGCTCATATTTAGACAATTTCCCCACACGAAAATGCGTTTATGCCTTATCCGGTGGTAGGAAACCCATTCGTGATGTGTAGCAGAGCCATCTCAGTCGTCTCGTTTGGCTTTTGTCTGCGGCGTTCAGGTCTTTCGTCAATTGGTTATTTAGTATGTTTTGACTTTTCCATCTTCTGTTAACTAATGACCTAGCTGTGGGTTGGTTATTTTGACCATTTTCCAATAATCTGGCAGAGCAGCAATCCACAAAATGTGCGCTTTGATTGGTTGTTTGGTAGGTTATGACTCTTCCCTCTCCATCTTCTGTTAGCAAATACTGAACAAGAAGCGGATTAACAGCAATTTACTGATTGTGCGCATTGTCGTACTAATATTTGAGCCTTTTTAAATTTAGTTTGGAATGAAATATCTAACACATGCAGCGTTACTTGCCATATTTCATCTTAGATCAGTCTACAGGCTTACCCAAACATTGATTAATTCAATAGATTTACAGTTATTTTCAGGTAATCACAGCTCGAGTATCATTATAAAGGTACCAGTGTTGGTATCTTTGGGCATCTGCACTCAGATTTAGCCAATTTTCCCCACATAAAAACCCATTTAGGGCTTATCTGGTTGTAGGAATCCTATTCGTGATGTGTAGCAGAGCCATCTCATTCATCTCGTCTGGTTTTGTCTGCAGTGTTCAGGTCTTTCGTTGATTAATAATTTGGTAGATTGTGACTTTTCCTTTTCCATCTTCTGTTAACTAATATTAAACTAGCTTGGGAGTATCTAAAACACTTCTTGTTTTGTAATTTGGACAATTTTCCCATAATCTGGCAGAGCAGCAATCCACAAAATGTGCACTTTCATTGGTTGGTAGGTTATGACTCTTCCTTCTTCATCTTCTGGTAACATATACTGAACTAGCTGCGGATTAACAGCAATTCACAGATTGTGCGCATTGTCGTACTAATATTTGAGCCTTTTTAAATTTAGTTTGGGATTAAATATCCAACATATGCAGCGCTACTTGCCATATTTCATCTTAGATCAGTCTACAGGCTTATCCAAACATCTAAACATTGATTAATTCAATAGATATACAGTTATTTTCAGTTCATCACAGCTCGAGTATCATTATAAAGGTACCAGTGTTGGTATCTTTGGGCATCTGCAATCTGATTTAGCCAATTTCCCCCACATAAAAACCCATTTAAGGCTTATCTGGTTGTAGGGAACCCATTCGTGATGTGTAGCAGAGCCGTCTCATTCATCTTGTCTGCAGTGTTCAGGTCTTTCGTTGATTAATTATTTGTTAGATTGTGACTTTTCCCTTTCCATCTTCTGCTAACTAATATTAAACTAGCTGTGGAGTATCCAAAACACTTTTCTTATTTAATTATTTGGACCATTTTCCCATAATCTGGCATAGGTAATCTGTCTTACTAATATTTGAGCCTTTATAAATTTAGTTTGGGATCCGATGTCCAACACATGCAGGGTTACTTGTCTTATTTCATCTTAGATCAGTCTACAGGCTTACTCAAACATCCAAACATTGGTAAATTCAATGGATATACAGTATTTTCAGGTAATCTCAGCTCGAATATGATTGTAAAGGTACCAGTGGTGGTATCTGCTCTCAGATTTAGCCAATTTCCCCACTCAAAAACCCATTTAGGGCTTATCTGGTTGTAGGAAACCCATTCGTGATGTGTAGCAGAGCCATCTCAGTCGTCCCTTCTGGCTATTTGTCTGTCGCCTCGGACAATTTCCAGCATAAAATTTCTGCTGTCTTGTCTGTCTGTCAGCTCGTCGTGTCGTCTTGCCCAGGAAAACCTGCACTGCTTTCTCTCTCTGATTGAAATAACTGAACAAGAATACTCCCACTTCTCTGACTCCAGCCTGATTATCTCTGTGTAGCGCACCACGTCCATTTACATCAGTCAGGCCATCAGGCGGCTTCTCCTGCTAATCAAGTTCCCGGAGTAGCGTCTTATCAGGAAGATAATTCCCCCGCAGGAGGAACTCCCAGTACGGGAGTGCCAAACGTCTGTCCGATTGCTTTGGAAGAGATTCAGACTCGCTCGCTGCTGTAATTCGGTCTGATTCATCTTCCCCGTCTGTGCATTTCACATATATGCTTTCCATTCTGACACCTCTTATTGTTAGACGTCCTTTATTTGTGTGGTATGTTCTGAGATGGAAATCACTTCCTTTTTTTTTTGTGTTACTTCAGAAAATGGAGAGGTTAATTTATTGTTTGGTTTTGTTTATTTTTGGAGTGCGTTCATAAAAAAATGACTCGTAAACGCAAATGCAAAGACATTAAAGTGGACGTTTAATAAAGATCACATATGGAGAAAAGCTAAAAGCGGTTGTGTTTGATATGTTGTGTTCTAGGGCAAGTCACATTGCGATAATTTGGTTTGCTGCGATATGAATATAATTTCACCTGATGGTTTGAAGAGGTTTATTTAGAAATATTTCATTTATTTAGATCAGGGGTGGCCACATTTTTCTTATGAAGGGCCGAAAACCAATCCTGATTGATTGGATGTGGGCTGAATACCAGACTGAATATATCACAACGTATAATTTCCTTATTTACTTGCTAATATTAATATTAAATAACTAAACGTTGCTTTAAATCATATTAACTAATGTAGTATTATTTTTAGCATTTTATAATTAACTTATTACAGTAAAAACAATCTCATTTAAAACACAATGGAGTTCAGTGCTGAAAACTCGAGTCTGCCTTGATTTGCTCGTTGATGTCTTGTGAAGTTGACAGTTTTTACATTTTAAAAGTCTGATTCATTTACTATATTTCATTTCTGTTGGCTTTTTTTGTAGCTCAGCAATAAAACAAAGAAACAAACGCGCAGGGTATATGAAGGAACCCTAAAGGTAATTTCAAAACCTTTTTAAGACTTATTAAAGACCTTCTCAGAATATTTGGAGATCTCATCGCCACTTAAGTTCTAATCGGGATCAGAACTTTAACTTAATAAGCAGTTATTAATAAACAGTTGTAGTTAAATAAATCAACGGAGAACAACCATGCAGAAAACTCAGAAGAAACAAAGCTTGAAAGAATAAATTACGTGTTTTTTTTAGAGGCTTCAGCCACTGTTTAAACTCATCCTTCTCCAATTAGGAGTTCTCAAACATACTTTTTCCCATTTTGCCGTCTGTTTCGCTCTATGGTTTTGCTACATGTGGAGAGTGTCACATCACCTTCCCACGTTTGTCACTAATTATGTGACATCTCCCAGAACCAATCTTGTGGATCGTGGAAAAATAAATATGTTTATGCTTTTTTTTTGGAGTCAAACACTTGAACAAAATGTAAAACTTTTTAATATCTTTTAAATTACTTAATTTTTTCATAATTGATTTATCAACTTTTAATACTTTTTAAGAGCCCGTGGACACCCTGAAAGTATTACTTAAAAATCAAAACAACTATCTCTGTCAGAGAAATTCACCCCAACCGCCTCTCCATCATTCTCCCCCTCTTTTCAGATGGCATGGTGGGCCAAATCAAAGGCTACCATGGGCCAATTTAGTCCCGCAAGCCCTAGATTGGGCATTTATGATTTAGATCGACTGGGATTATGAAGTCTTTTTGTTCTAAGATGCGGTGCACCATAAAATAAAATAAATTACAAGTATATATAAATATGACAAAGCAAAACTAAAAGTTAAATACCAGTGCTTTATGGTTTTCTGGAGAATCTAACAGTATTCAAGTACAGAAATTGAACAATCAAACGTCAAAAAAAAAAAACATGCTCAACATAATATTTATTTTATCTTTATCTTTTAAGCTTTATTAAATAATCTAATCTTGCATAAGACTTGCAGATACCAGTGCTGGGTGTAATTAATTACAACAAAGTGACTTTTCTACAGAAATGGTAATGTACACTACCTGACAAAAGCCTTGTCGTTGATCTCAGTTGTAAGAGCAACAAATGATAACTTGACTTCTAGTTGATCATGTGGAAAAGTGGCAGAAGGTCGATTTTTCTGATGAATCATGTTGAGCTGCATCCAAGTCATCACAGATACTGCAGAAGACCTACTGGAACCCACATGCACCCAAGATTCTCAAAGAGAGTCAGTCAAGTTTGGTGAAGAAAAAATCATGGTTTGGGGTTACATTCAGTATGGGGAGTGCGAGAGATCTGCAGGGTGGATGGCAACATCAACAGCCTGAGGTATCAAGACATTTGTGCTGCCCATTACATTACAAACCACAGGAAAGGGTCTT